TTTTCAAAATTTACTTGGTAGTCAAATGCTTTTTTAAAAAAGTCAGTTTACCAATTAATGGCATTTAATTAATTTGTTACAGTTTATTGTTTTGTGCAGGCTTTTTAATGTTGTTGGTGATGCTTTCGCTTTGTGAGCTACCCAGCAAACTCTTGTTATAGGGTGGCTATATAAATGTAATAAATAAATAAATATCCCCTAGCTTCAAATCTGCAGCTCCCAAGGGCCAAACTAACAGTAACAGCGCAGCCAGATTTTTACTTGTGGAAGAGAGCTTTATAAGAGGTGTACACAATAAAAGTGTTGATTGATAGAACATAAATAAAATCCAGCAAACAGTTAAAAATGAACAAAACACAGATGGAATCTGTAAAACAGAAAGCAGAATAATGAATGTCTAATTGCATTTGGTATTTATGTGTCTGCCATATACTAATGTTTTACCCCAAAAGAAACTCACGGGTGAAAGGAGCTCTGCTCTCTCCCTTCTCTTCCCCTGCCTGCTTTTGCTGTTCTCTGTCAATTTGGGCACCTTTTTTCACTTTTTTTGTTGTTTTAAGTGAATATAGTAGACATGGAACACTTCCAGACTGTCACTATTTTCAGGTGGGATTTGATCACATACCGTGATCCATGTGATATGACAGACATATATCAGTGTCTGTCTGATATGTAACTGGAGGATGTTACAAAAAGTCAGTGGCGCCATACTGAGGACTCATTTCTGCCATTGTGTAGACTGGACCTCCGGATCCCTTCTGTGCATTGAAAGTATACATGACTAAAGTCTCCAGGCAGGTGTATATACTTTGAATGCATATAGGGACTGTGCAGTCTAGTGAAAATACCTAAGTCACAGGTGGACCTGCCATAACAATCTTGCTTCAGTTTCTTTCTTTATTTCACAACACTTATATGCTGCTTGATTGTAATAATAAAAAAACCCAAGGCAGTTTCCTTTATGAACAAAGTCCTGGTACAAGTGATCCCCCATCGCTTACGTCTCTCCCATTGTGTTCATTGTCTATTTATTCTAACTCGCTGCTTTCTTTCTTTTTTTAAACCAGTTTGCCATTCCATAAGCGGAGTTGCCCTCTTATTCCATGCCTGCTTAATTTACGCAGGGAAAGCATTGCACTTGGGGAAAAGCCTTTTGAAAGTCCCAACTGTGCGAGAGGATACCTGCTTGAAGATATTTGCATTCAGGGTTGTTATCCTAAATGACAACAGCTCCTGGCTGACAAGGGATTTCATGGCGTTTCAATCAGATAGCCCAATTCTTACTGCTTTTTCTTGGCCAGTCCACTAGCCACTGCTTGCTTGTAGGGAACTCTGTATGCTGCCTTACTCAGCACACCAGATATACAAGTCCTTCTGGGTTGCCATATGTCATCTTTCCCCAGGACGTGTCCTCTTCGTGGATATGTAAAAGGAGAGTCGTAGCAATCCATAGTTAGACGCAGAAGTCGGCAAATGTGTCCTCTTTTTTGCTCTTCAAAATATGGCAATCCTGTTTGCTTGCACACAGCTGATTATCCTGGCATGGGGCAAAGATGAGTCGAAATTATTTGGCCTTGCTAGGGTTCCTTCACCTCTCTTCTACCCCATTTTAGCCTTGAATCTATATAGAAATAAGGTTTGAAGCACATTTATTACAAGATGCTACGACAGGATGCACAAGTCAGTCCACAGCAAGAGTTAAAACACATTCCTTCTATTGGAGTGTTCAGTGAAAGTGTCATACCCTTCAGTCATCTTTTTGATTGCAGCTAAATATGTTGATCCCTTGATGTCTCTCCCTGGAAATCTTATTTTTCAGTCCTTGAAATGCTCTTGTAATTTCACCCTGCGTTTTCCTTCCTTTTCTCTCCCCCCCTCCTCCCACCTTAAAGAAAGGAGAGAGCGCACAACAGAGAAACCAGAACTGGCCCTAATGTTTGAGTCACCTTCACATCCAACCTTAGTCACTCCCTCCTCCTCCCTCTCCCTTCCTTTCCTCCATCGCACAGCCAAAAATTGCATTATCCCAATTTGCTGCAGCAGCATTTGAGCAGGGGTTCCTTTGAGCCAGGGCTCAACCCCAGAAGCTTTTAACCTGCTACATCCAGTCCTTCTGAGAACTTTTTTTGGACTCAACTGTTCAGTACTCACCCTTCCTCCCAACAGCACATAGCTCTGCCCTGTATATGAAGTTATTTTCTCATCTCAATGGATCTTACAAGTCCATCACTTTTTTCACTTGATGCGATTTGGTCCAGGAAAACATGCAGTAAATTCTGTTGGCAGTACATTCTGGACTGAGGGAAAGGAGGACTTTGCAAAATACAGCATTGACTGACGGAATTCAGTGCCACAAGATGTGATGAGAACTACCCACTTAGAAAGCTTTAAGAGTGATCAGACAAATTTATAGAGGACAGGTCTGCCAGCAGTTTATTATCCGTAATAGACAAATGGAACCTGCATGTTCAAAGGTGATATATTTCTGAATACCAGATACTTGGGCAGATGGACAAGAGCCAGTGTGGTGTAGTGGTTAAGAGCGGTGGACTCGTAATCTGGTGAACTGGGTTCGCTTCCCTGCTCCTCCACATGCAGCTGCTGGGTGACCTTGGGCTAGTCACAATTCTTGATGTCTCTCGGCCTCACTCACCTCACAGAGTGTTTGTTGTGGGGGAGGAAGGGAAAGGAGAATGTTAGCCGCTTTGAGACTCCTTTGGGTAGTGATAAAGTGGGATATTAAATCCAAACTCTTCTACTCTTCTTCGTTTGGTTTGATAAGTGGGAGTTTTTCCAGATAGCCATCTAGAATAGGAAAACCGCTATGTGCATAGTTAATTTCCTCTGAAAGAGAGAGAGAGAGAGAACATTGCAGCAGCTTAAGCCAAGCCAATATAGAAATCCATTATCAGAGATCTATGGAGGGAGTATGCTTAATCAAAAGATGAGGGAATTGCACTTTGCACATGCCTAGGGGTGTGCATTCATAGAACATGAAGCTGAAAGGGACCATAAGGATCATCTGCTCCAGTGTCTCCCAAACTTTGATCTCCAGCTGTTTTTGGAGTACAGTTCCCATCATCCCTGACCACTGGTCTTGCTAGCTAGGGGTGGTGGGAATTGTATTCCAAAAACATCTGGAAACCCAAGTTTGGGAAACGCCAATCTAGTCCAACGCCCTGGAATGCAGGAATATGCATCTGTCCCATATGGGGATCAAACCTGCGACCTGGTGTTATCAATACCACACTCTAACCAAATGAGCTATCCAGACCATTGTATTACCGTATTTTTCGTTCTATAGGACGCACTTTCCCCCCTCCAGAAATTCAGGGGAAATGTGTGTGCGTCCTATGGAGCGAATGCAGGCTCCTTGGCTTCAGCGATAGCAACGCGAAGCCTCCGAAGCGTAGAGGGAGCGCTCTCTCCGCGCTCCGGAGGCTTCGCGTTGCTTTCCCTGAAGCCTGGAGAGCGAGAGGGGTCAGTGCGCACCGACCCTTCTCGCTCTCCAGGCTTCAGGGATAGCCGCCTGAAGCCTTCGGAGTGCAGTGCGAGTTCCCGCTGCACTCCGGAGGCTTCAGATTCCTTTTGCTGAAGCCGGGAGAGCAAGACTCTCCTGGCTTCAGCAGAGAGGGAGAGCTGCGCCGCGCCCCTTCAGCCAAGCGGGAGGAGAAATGGAAGGGGCTCCGTTTCTCCTGCTGCTTTGCCAAAGGAGCGCTGAGCAGAGAGGGGGAGATTTTTTTTTTCTTGTTCTCCCCCTCTAAAGCAAGGTGCGTCCTATGGTCGGGTGCGTCCTATAGAGCGAAAAATACGGTATTATTATTTCATAAGAAGCTGCCTTCTACTGAGTCAGCCCACTGGTCCATCTAGCTCAGCATCACCATCGTTAACTGGCAGTAGGTTTTAGGCAGAAGTCTTAGCCCTATCTGGAGAAATTGGGTTCAGGATGGGACATGACTAAAAGCTGTGGCCTTAGAGAAGACATGGAGAAAGGATATGGAAAAAATATCTTGAGTGACCAAAATTGGGGCCTTAACAGACATGCTAAGACAGAAAAAGGGAGAAGTTGACTAGTTTTGGACCCTCAGCAAGACTTCAGGGGTATGAACCTGGGACCTTTTGCATGAAAAACATGTGTTTCCACCACTGAGCTACAACTCTTCCTCCATAAATGCCAAGTCCAAATCCAGGTGAAAACAGTTTTTGAAGCCCAAACCTGTCTTGTAAAGAAGTTCAGTACAGTGTATTAGGTAACTTGGAAATACTGTATGCCTACCTTCTGCTTGTCTTGAAAATGCCCCCAACATCCCATCCTCAGCTGTTGGCTGAGTTGCTCTGATGCCATGGAATGATCACAAGCATGTTAATTTTCTTGGGGGAAAGTGTAATAATAGAATATTAGAAGTGCACTGAAGTGGGCTCAGAATTCCAGCATTGGCTATGGGTGCCCATTACTTTAAGGTGAGGGGTTTTACAAAGGAGGGGAGGGTGAATTATCTCATCCTAAGCCCTGCTGGTCTCTTCCTGGGACTGAGGGCGGAAGAACACTGTGCATTTCTCCATTGTTTCTGAACTGAGGTTTTTGTTTGTTTTAATCACTTCTTCTACTATTGGAAGTGGGAAAGGGCAGGTTTAGATATACTCAAAAGCATGCCTAAATTTTCTTCCAGTTTGGGTGTGGAACAACCCCTTTTTGGCCCAAGGAAGAAATGAATGTGATCAAGCATAGTTACATATATTTGGTTTTGAAGGAATATTGCAGAACAACCCCTGTCAGTACCGGTTAGCCCAGCCTTTGCCCAGCCTTTTGTCCTCTGGATGTTGCTAGACTCCAACTCCCATCAGCTCCAGTCAGTGGTTGAGGATGATGGGAACTGTAGTCCGGCAGCTTCTGAAGGACAGCTGCTTGGGAAAGGCTGGTGTAACTGATACACTTCAAATAAATGCCAGGGAAGAACCTGAGAATGTGACCTCACATGGTCTCTCTTTGTTTCCATCAGGTTATACACCTGGCCCAGGTGAGTTTCCTTGTCCATGCCTTTGGCTCAGCCTTCACCTTGGACCTTGAGTTGAACCAGTAAGTATTCTCTTCATCTTTCCTTCAGATTCAGTTGTGGGTGTTCCCTTGTATGTATGAGGGTGTGTGTGGCTGGTGACTGGGAGCAGCCTCCAGGACCATATAACACTGGTCCTGAGAGACCTGCATTGGCTCCCAGTACGTTTCTGAGCACAATTCAAAGTGTTGGCGCTGACCTTTAAAGCCCTAAATGGCTTCGGCCCTGTATACCTGAAGGAGGGTCTCCATCCCTGTCGGTCAGCCCAGACACTGAGGTCCAGCTCTGAGGGCCTTCTGGCGGTTCCCTCATTGCAAGAAGTGAGGTGACAGGGAATCAGGCAGAGGAGCCTTCTCAGTTGTGGCGCTCAACCTATGGAAACCCTTCCATCAGATGTCAAGTAAATAAGTAACTATACAACTTTTCGAAGACATCTGAATGTGGTCCTGTATAGTGAAGTTTAATGTACTGTTTTATTATGTTTTTGTATATGCTGGAAGCCACCCAGAGTGGCTGGGGCAAATCCAGTCAGATGGGTTTGAAATAATAATAATAATAATAATAATAATAATAATAATAATAATAATAATAATAATGGCTAGTCAGTTCTGTGGCCATGAATATATTTGTTCCAGGCAGATGGTGAGAGGGCTTAAAACCAAAGTCAATTCCTGGAATGTACAGCTTCAGAATAAGGTAAGGGAGAGGGAAAGGTCTTCTACAGGTTTCTTCAAAAGCCCTGATCAAAACAGCTTTTTCATTTAAAAAAATGAAGTTCAGGACCCTACAGATATAATTGACTGTTCTGCATCCTTGCCACATGCCACACTTGTGATCTGTGGACTAGATTTTGAGAACCCATGAAGAATTCACTGCTAGAAGGTACTTATTTTATTCATGTAACAAAATTTATGTACCACTTGATGGCAATAAAACCTCTGACCTCTTAAGATATGGTGGCCTTTAGATCAGAGATGGCTTTTTAAAAGGATCAGAAAGATTCACAACGGACAAGTCCATCAATTAGCCACACAGCAAAATTGTACTGTGCTTCCATGTCCATAGATGGTCTAGCAGCAGATGCAAGGGCAGTCTGCAAAAAAATTAGTTCTGTTCACCATGCCCTGCTTTGTGCGCTTCCAGAGGTGTCCACCACCATATGTGAAAACAGAATGCTGGATTAAGTTGACTTAGATCTGAGCATGCAAAGTAATTCTTGGACTATGGTGGTATCTGAGGCTTTGGACATGTCTCCCAGCATGTGAAAAATGCCTGCTTCTCCCCACTGTGTAACTACAGCTGAACCCCATGCACCTGAGAGTCACTTTACACCTCTGCTTAGAAATTAATCCTTTTACATACCGGTCAAACTTAGAGAGTGGAAGCTACAGAAGTGCAGTAGTTGCATCTGAAGCTATCATGGGAATAGACCTAAGACTTAAATTGGTGCCTGTGGATGACGTTTCTTTTCTTTCTTTCTTTTACATATAATTTTTATTAAATTTTCTATTTTACAATTTAAAATACTCATTTTACATCCTTAAGATATCAATGATTTCCTTTCTTCTCTTTCCATGGTTCAGTTTACATATCATAAATCCCTGCATATTTTACAAAAACTATACCATTCAGTTTCTATTCTTGCATCCATCAAAACTAGTTTACACTGTTGAATTTATCTTGATGCTGCCAGCATTTTCAGCTGTGCACAATTATTTCCCATATATTCAATAAACGTTTTCCAATCTTCCAGATGACATGGGACTGAGGATGTGATTTCTGTCTATCTGTGTTGTTAGCCGCCCTGAGCCCGGCTTCGGCTGGGGAGGGCGGGATATAAATAAAATTTATTATTATTATTATTATCTGGACATCTCATTTTATGGTCTTATGGCCCCTTAAAGACTAACAAATTTCTTGTGGCATAAAATGACCTAACCCAATTCATCAGATGTATGAAACAGCTGACATGTATATGCATGGATGGATGGATGAATGGATGGGGACAAGACTAGGGTTTCCCAAACTTGGGTCTCCAGCTGTTTTTGGACTACAACTCTCATCATTCCTAGCTAGCAAGACCAGCAGTCAGGGATTATGGCAATTGTAGTACAAAAACAACAGGACACCCAAGTTTGGGAAACCCTGGACTAGTGAGAGAAACGTTAATAGTGGAGTCAAATAGCTATGAAATGTGTGTGTGTGACAGTTCAGCAGAAAGCTTCAATGTATACAAGATAAGTGTATACATTGCCTCTTCTCAACAACAGTAATTGGTGACAGCGCAACCATCCAAGCTTTGCTATGTTAATTAACACCTGTAGTGGGACAGAAAACCATTGTTTGAATTCAAGCTCTTGGTTTTTTTTAAACTGGGCCTGGGATAAACAATGTACTAGCTCTGATTGTACAGAATGCCAAGCTTGTCTTTGCACTGGAAGTCTCATGAGCGGGGCTGCCACTTGTCGACGTGTGAGGTGGTGTGCAAGGCCGTAAGGGAATGGATGTGCGTGCGCTTGTCTTCTTAGCGCATGACTGCCGCCGAGTGTGACAGGATAGGAGCCGCAGTGAATGTGTATCTGTGTTCTGATTGTGTATTCCTCATGACGTGCCAAGGTATGTGTGGCAAGGTGTGTGCGTGGGTGCAGTCGTCCTACTGCTTGTGTATGCATGAGGGCGTTTGTAATGGAGGGCTTGCTGCATGAGAGGGAGAGCCACTGCACGTTTACACCAGCACTATCCCATTCTTTTTTATGGGGCTGTTTTGGAGTAAACTGGGTGTGGGTTGCATCCCTCAGCTGGTTACGGCATTGAGAAAATGGAAGCGGAGAGACAGAAATGTTCTGTGCAACGCTCTTTCCATGTTGGAGAATCCTGATGTTAGCTGAAGCACAAAGAAGGTACAGTGGTACCTCGGGTTAAGTACTTAATTCGTTCTGTAGGTCTGTTCTTAACCTGAAGCACCACTTTAGCTAATGGGGCCTCCTGCTGCTGCTGCGCCGCTGCTGTGTAATTTCTGTTCTCATCCTGAAGCAAAGTTCTTAACCTGAAGCACTATTTCTGGGTTAGCGGAGTCTGTAACCTGAAGCGTATGTAACCTGAAGCGTTAGTAACCCGAGGTACCACTGTATTGTTGCAGGCCGCCTCAGTCTCTGCCGAGTGATAGCAAGAAATCCCTGGGACCTTGGCACTTAACCAGGGTTTGTGTTCCTTTGGAAAGAGATGCAGCAGAGACTAGTATCTTTAAGAAATATGGTTTGTTTTACACACATTTACACCCGAAGCCTTCCATGGAGTGGGTGCAGAACACTACACTCCAAGAGTGTCCCTCATTGCTCCTCTCCCTTTGCCCCTCTGTCTGGAAAAAAAAAAAACAAGCTCTGATTAAACCCCAGCACCCAAGAATCTAGAGGGGAAAGTCTGGCACCCAGGGATCTGGGGGATCCCTGCTCTCCCATTAACCCATGACACTATGTAAGGGCGGGGGACAGTACTTGATTTCTGAAGCAAAATCTAAACTGCCAGGAAGTTGTATCTTCTGGCCTGGCTTGTTCCTGACTATATTTTTGCAGCTATTCCTGGAAGTTGTGTTTGCAATTATGGGTGTAGATATGGGTGGTAGAATATAAACCATGTTTGTGCATGTATTTATGAATGCAAAATGCAAATGTGACTGAGAAAATTAAGGTGAGATTGTGCACCTGAGAGCTCGCCCATGTATTTTGTGACACTAGATGTGCGTCTGTGGGTGTATTATGAGTTTGTCTTAATTTATAGAGCGTAGTTTTGCTTGTTTATTAAATTTGTATGCTGCCCTTCATCCGGAGATCTCAGGGCAGTCCACAGCCTAAAAATACAAAATAAAAGCAAATAATACAGGATAAGAACAAGAACAAAACAAATCCCCACTGTGTAACAGTGCTGGGACTGTGTGCACTGCTGTATGATCTGCACAGTGCTATGAAGAACTTTAGCTTTTCCCCCCACAGTACTGTAGTCACCACATATGTATGAGTATATATATTTGTGGGAAGTTTCTTTCACCCTCTTCGGTGAGACAGCAGTGTCTGAATGCTGCGATTAGGTGAGTGCCCTTGAATATTTAATAGGGCATCTGGATTTCTGCCTCTCCCCTGCCATCCTGCAAGTAAATTAAGCTCAAGGCACCAGGTTACCCGTAAGACGAGGTGGCCGATGAGTCTTGGGCTGTAACCAGAGATGGTGTGATTAACCGCACGTGTCAGGTAATTGAGTTTCGCCCCTTGCCAATGCGTGCTTTCATCCAGGAGCCTAGGTGCCCTGAGAATGACAGAGCCTGGTCCCAGAACCTTTTTCTTAGTGCTGGGATTTGCCTTGACGCTGTAGAACTGGCGGGAAGCAGATTCTGGCCTCTGCAATTGGCCAGGACATTAAGGGCTGCTGGGGTTGTGCATGTCAGTGTCTGTTTTGATTTGTATTCTTGCAATCTGTTGTAAACAGCCCAGAATATCATTTGAGTGGAAGGTGGGACTAGGTATAAAGATGTACCTCTTTACCCCGGCCTTTGATAGTTAAGATCTGTGTGGTTTTTGTGAAACCACCTCTGTGATTGATGGTACATCCTTTGGCTTGTTTTAAATGTCCTTAAATTACTTAAATGTCCATTAAAACCCACCCTTGGGTTTTAATGTTACGTAAGTATATGGTTGTAACCTGCCCTGGGCCTTTATGGTGAAGGGCAGGTAAGAAATCTCTTCAATAAAATAAATAAACTAGAAATAATAATTATTTTGTAATAATAGAAGGATTTTGTTACTGCCCAAACCAGACATGCCATGGAGGTAATATCAACTACCAGTAGCTGCATTAATTCAAATCCTTTTTCTCCCGAGGAATCTCCTGGCCTAGACCTTCCAGGGAAAGTCTGCATATTCAAAGGGCTAGGCTGGCAGAAGCCAAGAGGCGCCAGCTGCTGGTGCATTGGAATGAATGGGGTGTCAAGGCTCTTGATACCCAAGGAAGGGATAATGGAAACTCATTCATGTTGGTTTGGGGAGCAGTGGGGCTCATCCCAGAGCCCTGTCCAGGCCATTGAGCTTACTGCACACAGAAAACATGCCAGGTAGGGATGAGATGCTAGCAGCCACCCTGAGCAAAAAAGGTGAATGGGTACAATGGTCACAGTGAGAAACGCCCAAGGAAAATGGCCTAGGATTTGGTGTGCCATCTCTACCAGAAAGTCTAGGTAGGTTTATTCATTCCATGTGATTTGGTAAGAAAGGAGTGGGGGAAACAGGAGGGTGGGAGTGTGATCCCATATATCATAGAAATATAGAATTGGAAGGGACTCTGTGGATTATCTAGTGTTTCAACCCTCTGCAATGCAGGAATATGCAGCTGTCCCATACGGGAATTGAACCTGCAACCATGGCCTTATCAGCACCATGCTCTAACCAACTGAGCTATATCTGTAATGCTCTTCATGCATCTGCCCTTTCCCCTTCTCTCATCAGCCACCTGCTGTCTTCACATTACGTGGAACGCCATTTCGGGGAAGATGGAAACGGCAGCCACACCACGGTAAGGGGACACAAGCTAAAGAGGCTTTGTTGTGTTTATGTAGATACAATTTTTCAACGTAAGTCGCTTGTTTGAGTGACAAGCAACTAATAAGTTTAATAAATGAATGAATATTTGTTCCCCCTTCCCTGAGCGTAAATTAAGTGCTTTTCTATCATCACTGATCACAAATGCTTCTGCATTAGAGGATGGGGCTTCTGGGAAAGTCTGAGCCCCAGTGTTTTTTATTTTAAATTATCCTGGCCAGTCTCTTGCACAGGAATCACAACTCTGCACAGTTTGCAGTTGTCCTAGGGTGGGTCCCTCTCTCCGTCTCTTCCGCCACCCGCTTCCTCCCTCAGACATGAAAGAGCTGCCGGGAGGGAGATTGTGGAGGGGAGGAAGGCCTCTCGGTGTTTGCAGCTGCTAACGCAGTGAGGTGGATTGCAGACGCTGAATGAATGGGAGCTCCAGAAATAGCCCTGCTCGCACAAGCCAGGAATTGGTGCAAACGGGAGCTTCACAAGTGGAGCATCAATAATGCTAAGTGTTTGCTAAGTGGTTGGTCATGCACACTCACAAGCAGTGGGCAGCCAGATCCTTTGAGCCTCCCTCCCACTTTTACTCCCCTCTCCCTCTTTGCATTGAGCTCCGGCTTTCCCCACCCCCTGCTGAGCTAACCTGAACCACCCTGCCTTCTATAAATAGACCTGGGGGGGGGGAGTGGGAGGGGGCTCACTTGCTTGCCTATCAGACTGTAGCAGCAGCCTTGAGCACCAGCCTGTGCAGGGGCACACGTGAACTGGTGCATGGCAAGACTCAGGGAAGGGAGGAGAGCGATCGAGGGAGCGAGACAGCAGGCCTCTTCCCCAACGCAGTCCGTGGTGGCGTGTCTCTGAGCTAGTTCATGACCATGGATCCCCTATTGTGTATGCATAACGTGTGAAGGTGCCCATTGTCCGGCAACTGGCAGCAGGGCTGGACCAAGGCATTTTGGCACCTGAGATGAACCACAAATGGTGCCCTCCCTGCCTGCCAGGGAAGAAGGGGTGAGTGAAGATCTACATCAGGAATGGGGGCGGGCAGAATAAAGATCTGCGTCAGGAATGAGGAGGGAGGGAAGATATACTGTATTTTTCGCTCTATAAGACGCACCAGGCCACAAGACGCACCTAGTTTTTGGAGGAGAAAAAACAAGAAAAAAAATATTCTGGATCTCAGAAGCCAGAACAGCAAGAGGGATCGCTGCGCAGTGAAAGCAGCAATCCCTCTTGCTGTTATGGCTTCTGGGATAGCTGCGCAGCCTGCATTCGCTCCATAAGACGCACACACATTTCCCCTTACTTTTTGGGAGGGAGAAAGTGAGTCATATAGAGCAAAAAATACGGTACATTGGGAACAAGGTGGGGAATCGTATCAACCTTATCTGTTGGCTGAAGTGGGAATCAAAGTCTGTAGCAGTGGGGAAAGGGACCTGCTCTGAATCACACCATTTCTTCCCTAGAGATGGGAGAAGACCAGCAGTGCCTCCTGTTTGCAGAGAGCCACCAAGGAGTGCGCTGTAGCTGTTGCTGCCACCAAGGAGTGCGCTGTAGCTGTTGCTGCCAGGCAGCAATGCAGTCCTTGGCGGTTAGCTCTTTCGCCCCTGTGGATCCTGCCCCCCGAAGCAGTCACCTCACCTTGCCTCATGGGTGGGCTGGCCGTGACTGCTGGCAGTGTCCCATATTCCATTGTTCTTAATCGCTGCCTTTATCTATTTGATAACATTGCTCACTACCTTGCCTTTATTTTTGACTTCTCTTTCTCCTTTGAACCTCACGCTCCTTTTATCACCAAGTCACACCGATTCTCCTTGCAGAGCATGGCGTCAACCTACCCTTGCCCTCATTCCCATCCATTCTAGCCCTGGTTTGCATGCTCCTCTGGTCACTTCTCACACGGACGTCCGCAACTGTCTCTCTTTGGGCATATCCACACTTAACTTTCCTCCACACTTTCCAGGCACTGTCCATGACTTAAAGCTCAATGTCCAAGTGCTATTTTGTTTTGGACCTTTCCCCATGAAAACCTGCTCTTCGCTGCTGAATCTTCAGCTTTAAAGAGCCGTGTTTTTTTGCTGGAAAAGCTCCAGCGTGGGGAAAAAGAGCACAGAGCTTTGAAGTGCGGACCTGTGCCACAAAAGGAAAGTGCAAAGGGCAAGTGTGGATAAGTGTAGATCTTTTTCATTGCCTTCTAGTCTCAACTATCCAAATGGTTCACTTTCTCCTGTTGTTCAGTCTGCAACACCACCAGCTTCCCATTTCCTTCTGGCTGGGACAATAATATTAATGATGACGATGATAATGGTAATATTTATGCCCTGCCTATCTTGCTGGGACAGGGATGCGGGTGGCGCTGTGGGTTAAACCAGAGAGCCTAGGACTTGCCGATGAGAAGGTGGGCGGGTCGAATCCCCACGACGGGGTGAGCTCCCGTTGCTCGGTCCCTGCTCCTGCCAACCTAGCAGTTCGAAAGCACCTCAAAGCGCAAGTAGATAAATAGGTACCGTTCTGGCGGGAAGGTAAACGGCGTTTCCGTGCGCTGCTCTGGTTCGCCAGAAGCGGCTTAGCCATGCTGACCACATGACCCGGAAGCTGTACGCCGGCTCCCTCGGCCAATAAAGCAAGATGAGCGCCGCAACCCCAGAGTCAGCCACGACTGGACCTAATGGTCAGGGGTCCCTTTACCTTTACTATCTTGCTGGGACAGCCCTGCCAGATGGGCGGGGCATAAATATCATCATCATTATCATTATCATCATCAATATTCAACACTAGCTCCTTGTCATGCCCTTTAAAGTGCCCATTGTCCTTCCTGGATCCTATCTTTTGGCCCAACATGTCCCTGGCCACTGCCTCTGCATCCTGAAGAACATTTGCTCTCTTAAACTTAGGCAGTGTACACACCACCATCTTGAAACACAGCTAGGTGGTTCTTTTTCTCAATTTGGATGGAAGCTGGTTTGCGGGGGGAGATACATCAAAACTCATTACTGTATTTCATAAGAAACCACAGGATAGCTCTGGATGTGTGTACATCACTTCCCAAACCAACAGTGGGAGCGCCCTGAGTATAAATGGGATGGTGGACCCAGCCAAGTATTTCTTGCCTCCCTTTATGCCTGAAGCTCTGTTCCCAGACTACTTATGTGGTACCGCCTGTCTCTACTAGGGCCGGGGCCTTTTCAGTACTGGCCCCGGCTTGGTGGAATGCTCTGTCACAAGAGACTAGGGCCCTGCGGGACTTGACATCTTTCTGCAGGGCCTGCAAGACAGAGCTGTTCTGTCTGGCCTTTGGTTTGGACTCTGTCTGACCCTTATGTTTCCCTCCCCTTATGGTTTTGATCTATGGGCTACTATTAAAATGAGGCTGCATTTTAAATTGTATTTTTAACCTGTATTTTAAATTGCCCCCCCCCAATTATGTTTTTATTGTAACTTTACTGGTGTTAGCCGCCCTAAGCCCGGCTCTGGCTGGGGAGGGCGGGGTATAAATAAAAATTTATTATTATATTAGTATTATTTCTCTTGCACCCCTTCAAATCCAGCCTCCGAGCCTCTGATAACTCTTTTATCTATTAGTCCCCTATCTATGTGCAAACTGCATTTGTACATAGCCACCCCCAGTTACTCTTGCCTCCCCCCCATTTGCTGTTTCCTTGTCATTTCATGGAATCATAGAATTTTTGTTGTTGTTGTTGTGTGTTTTTGTAATGTTTTTCTTTTTTCTTTTTCTTTTTTATGTGATAAATGTGAAAATCAATAAAAAAAATTGGGGAAAAAACCATTTATTGTACTAGCCAAAGGCCATGACAAAACCATACAAACACTATCAAAGAGAGAAATAGGTATAATAAATCTATATATCCATATATAAAAACAGAACCTCTGCCTAAACCATCAGAATCATAAAATGCAGGCGCACACGTAAATTGGGGGTCTCCACACGTCATACAGTTTTTTTCTTTTTAGACCTCTGAGTCTCCCTTGCAATTTTATCCAGATTCTTCTTCTTAATCTTTCTTACCGCCAGCACAAAGAGGGCCACATTATGAGTCACTGGGGCATTAGCATCACTGAGCACCTTGCCTTGTTGCATTTCATTGCTTTAAGCAATTTTCTCACTGCTTGGCTCATTTCTTCTGCTATTGGAGCAAACTACAGGAAAAAACTGCTTAGAACAGGCAAGTCAAAATGGAGAAGCGGGTTGCTCCTTAGATCCACATGTTCCTAGTTTGTAAAACATAGGATTCCCCTACTCACTCTTTGTATGTGAATGGGACAGGGACTGCTGCCTCATCACATCTAGTTATTGCATGCTCCTCAGGACAGGGACCTTCTTGCCTAGGCTACTCCTTGAACTTTTATTTCTTTATTTCAAACATGTTTACATAGCTGTCAACCGTCCCTTATTTGGCGGGAAAGTCCCTTATCCCAGCGCCGTGTCCTGCTGCTGTCCCTTATTGATGATGTCCCTTAAATTTCCCAGGTTTCAAAGGAAGCAGCTCCTCTCCCTCCCTCCCTGCCGGCCAGGGAGGAGCGAGGCTCCAACTGTGTTGCTTGGCTGCGTTGCTCACCCAGTAAGAAGTCTAAGAACAACTGGGAGGTGGAGCTTGCATGCCTTGTGCCGATCAAATCGGCCGCATTGCCTGGGGACTTGCCTTTGCTCAGCGCTTCCCAGCGGAGAGGTGACGGTGGTTTTCCTTGCTGCATCCCCTTTGCTGGGTTGCTGCGCTGTGGGAACCACCGCTTGAGGCTTCGTTTGGCTGCTGGCTGGGCTTTCTGCTTTTGGCTCGGACGGGCTCAGAAGTCAAACATACCTGTTCTCTGAAAATCCCTTATTTTGGCTGCTGATCCCTTATTTCCGAGGCTGCTGATCCCTTATTTTCAAATCTGTAAGTTGACAGCTATGTGTTTACCCTGCTCTTAGCCAAAAAGGCTCTCAGAGCAGCTTACAGAGCAGTAAAGAACAAGAAAGTCCCTGCCCTCTTTGTGTCACCAAAACGACACGGCACAAAAGGAAAATATAAGGAGGGAAGAGGAAGAAAGCAAACCCAGGCACCAATTCTTAAAATTCAGTAGTTCTCATAAATAATGACCAGCTGGAATGCAAATGGGGCCAATGGAAGCCTGATGGCGCTGATCTTTCAGCCAAGTCTGATGGGATGACTAGATAACTGGTAAGGGAAAATTTCATATATGTTGATGGGGCCATAAAAAGTAAAAATAAGCTTGCAGTTCTTTATAGCAAAAGCTGCATCGTTCCAAAGTGTCAGGGGAGGTGTTAGGAAATTGGTATGAGGGGAAGCCCATTTAAACCTGGTACAACAGCTTAACTGCAAAATTCCTAAGCATACTGACTCAGAAATAAGTCTCACTATGCTCATGGGTTAAAGCACGTATGGAACTGCAGTCTAAAAAGACAAAGCAAGCATCAAATCTGGATATGTGTTCTCATATATATCATTCCAAGAAGAAGAAAAAGAACTAGTAAGGACTATTTCACAAAAACCACTCTTCTCTGTTTTCCTTCTCAGGCACCTACATAATCAGCCGGTTTTATTGGTATTGTTCCATCTCATATCCTGATTTAAATACCTGAGAAGAGTTAGGTGGAATTTTGTTCCTCTGGGGTCACTGTTTTTAACAATTAGGTTAGAGACAAAACCTCACCGCAGTTCAAAAAACTCACAGAGCTCAGCCCTGAAACCTGCCTTGGATGCCACAGAGAAACCCTGTAATGTGTGAATAAAAAACTGCAATGCTTCTGAGTGTGTGCAGAGTGCCTTTTACACGCTACCAAGTTACTGCAAGGCACACCTGTGCGTTTTGGGTCAGGGAACAAGAATGCATCTCCTAAGCAGGTTTGAGCCACACCACCTGCCCTTTTGGAAACTAGAATTGTTGTCTATATTCTCTGTTGCTAAGGGAGGGCCTCTTTGAAAGGGGGTATGGGGTATGGTAGACTTCATCCACATGCACAAGAGGAACTGCCAAGCCAAACCATTCTGCTGCCGCAGCAAATATCTTCCTCTTGCCTCTGGATTGACAAGCATGGGCCATATGGTACCCCTTGAGGACTGGGCTTGACCCAGAAGCACCCAGTTACTGATTCTGGTGCTTAAGGGGCTCTATGTTAAGAGGCAAATTAATCTGATTTACATAAGCTTGAGAAAGAGGTCCTTTCCTTTTACGGTCTGTTTCAGGGAGCCGGAGAGCACTGTTACTATCAAGGCGGTCTCCGTGGGGAAGCAAACTCTTTTGCGGCTCTGTCCACCTGCCACGGCCTCCAGTAAGTAGCAAGCACTGAAGGAGGGAAGCGAACCAGTGAAGGGGGAATCCATTTCTGTCAAACACGGCCGGTCCTGCCATTGGGTAGAATGAAGCAGCCTCCTTCAGGAGCTGTGTTCGGATGCCATGAAGGGAAAGGGATGCAAAATGTTCCATTTAAGATTGTAATTTTTACTCTTGGAGAGTGATGCTAGTGGGGTTCTCTGCTACACGTGCCAAAATAACTTGGCCAGCCTCGATCTGAACGAGGGCAAGTTTGCTGTTCCACCTCACACAGCTACATGTCTTGAACTGGCCCTGCCAATAAGCCAAAGCACCTCTGGCACTGTGGTCGAAACCACTGAGCCTCTTGGGCTTGCTGATCAGAAGGTCGGCCGTTCGAATCCCCGCAACAGGGTGAGCTCCCATTGCTCTGTCCAACCTAGCAGTTCGAAAGCACTCTAGTGCAAGTAGATAAATAGGTACCACTGTGGCAGGAAGGTAAACGGCGTTTCCATGTGCTCTGGTTTCCATCACGGTGTGCCGTTGCGCCTGAAGCAGTTTAGTCATGCTGGCCAAATGACCTGGAAAACTGTCTGTGGACAAACGCCGGCTCCCTCTGCCTGAAAGCAAGATGAGCGCCGCAACCCCATAGTTGACTGGACTTAACCGTCCAGGGGTCCTTTACCTTTTACCTTTTTACTGTCAAGTTAGAGCTCGCCTCAGGACCTGAGAATATTATTTCCCTGGCAGTCCCCAAGGGTGTGTAATGTATGTGCCTCCGGACATAAAATCCTCCTGCCTCCAAACTGGTGTGATGGGCTTCACTAGGTGCTAGCAGTGAGTACTCTTCCGTGTAATGGCTACGACTGACTGACTAACCTCTCTGTGTTTCTTTGCGCCCCTCCTTCAGCGGCGTTTTCTCCGACGGAAAGGCCACGTACCTTTTGGAGCCTCACAATTCACCTGAGCACCAAGAGGTAAGTCTTGGACCAGGCTGTAATTCCATCACTGCCACAGAGATGCCTCACTTGGGTTTCATGCCCAGAGGTGAAAGGAAGGCCGAGTGAAACAGTGCATGGATTAGCTTGCATTTTATTTATCCTGACTGCCCACCCCCCCAACAACAACAACCTCAAAAAAACCCTCTTTAACCTCTAGGAACTTGTTCTAGGAAGAAGCTCATAATAACAGAGTAAGACTCAGTGTGAGGTACATGGAACAGAATGTTAGCTTTACAGCGCTGAGATCTTGATTCAAATTTCCAATCATCTGTTGATCTCGCCGGCTGAACTTTGATCAGTCATTCTCTTTCAACCTAGCCTACCTCTTGGGGTTGTTGTGAGGCTACAGTGGGACAACTCTAGGTATTCTTCTGCCTCAAACAGCACTGAAGGAAGGGTGAAATACAAACATAATAGATGTGTTTTATTTTTTGCTTGGTTGGCGTGGCAAAGGAGGCAGAAGGACGCCAGTTTAAAAACCATGAGGGGTGGATTCTTCCAGTGTTTCAAAGCAGTTGTTTTGATTCCTCTGTTTTTCTTCATGTGCATGTATATTGTTCAGTTTATCATTGACATGCATGTGAATTAGGCTGTATATTTCAAAGCATGGATTTCTCTCTGCCTCCGAGGCAAATTCATATGGTAGGTTTCTTTGCTGAACAGATAATTGAAAAGCCCCCAGCATTTGGCAGAGGCATGCATGATAAAAAAAAAATCCACTATAAATTTAAAAAATTCTGCACCCACCTGAAACCTGTCCCCAAAGAAATCAAGTACTTCTATAGCATTACATCTTGATGGTATATCTTTAGGGGTGGGTGCTCAGGCATCTTCTAGACATGATTCCCTCCCCCCCACATTGGGCCTATTCCCAAACATTTCTTTGCACTAGGAATCTAAAGGAGTTTCCCAGGGTGCCTCCTTTCACTCTTGTTGCCATGGCAACAAATGGATGGAGATTCCAATTGCGTCTTTTCATCCCCTTCTTGGAGAGTCCTCAGCCTCCACACACTCACCCCTACAGCATGTGGTACACCAGTGGCACAATATGCCCTTCTACCACAGTGTGCCCTTTTTGAGGGATTGTTTGGGTGGGCAGAGAAGTTGGGTGGAGCAGAGGTAGGGGCAGAGAAGCCAATAGAATACGAGCGGTTTGTTAGCAAAATCTTGGATTAAAAAAAGCACAGTAATGGTAATATAATACAAACTTGAACTAGGACTCTCTGCCAGGGTCTGGAAATTGATTTTCAGCCCCAGGGCATTTGGGAGTGTGAATCAATAATAAAGGGCATCTGAGCATAAACAGGTTGTTCTTCACTACTGAATAACTACAAAATCCCTGTGAAGATTGACTCAGCAAGATTTGGGTCATCTGCACAGGGCTTCTGTAGTTATTTGGTCAGGAGGAACTGCTCAGGCTCAGAAGGCCTTTCTCCTTCTCACCAATTCTCAAACTACAAAGCTGTACACCCTGGTAAAATCAGTTCCAGGCCCTGGCAATGAGCCCAGTTCAAAGAAATAAGGAAGCAAAAAATTAACTAAAGGGTTGAAATTTTCACCACTGTAAGATTTTGGGAGGGTCAATGGAAACGGGCTTTCTTGACAGAAGGTGCAGCCTAAGGAAAGCTTGAGCCCAGAAATACCTCATACAGTTTTCATGCAGAAGTTTGTTGGTCCAACAGTATTCACATACACAATCAGTCCAGGAATTGGGGTATTGCTGTACAACTTGAGACCAGCTCTCTTGGCTAGTCAAAGAGTGAGAATTCTTGACACCATTTCTGTAACCCCCTGTTCAAAGGATAGATGCCTGGGTATTAGCAAATGTTATCTTTTGTTGTTGCCTACTGCAGGGTCCACTCCCTCATCTGATCTACAAGACACCTGTACCTCGCACTGCTCAGGGTTGCACGGAACCAGGTAAACTTGACTATCCTCCGAAAGGACTTTGTGTACTTTTGTTCTTTAGGAGTTGGAGCAAATTTCCAAGCTTTGCATGTGAATAATCTTCCAGTCTCCCACGTATTCCCAAGAGGAAGTACATTAACATTACAGTTGTACCTTGGATCTCAAACACAAATCGGCTCCCAAACGATCAAAACCTGGAAGTGAGTATTCCAGTTTTTGAACAATTTTCGGAAGCCAAACATCCAGCGCAGCTTCCGCATCTTCTGATTGGCTGCAGGACGCTTCTGCAGCTAACCAGAAGCCACGCCTTGGTTTTTGAATGGCTCCGGGAGTTCAACAAAATCCCGGAACATATTCTGTTTGAGAACCAAGGTATGACTGTATAAAATGTTTACAATATGGGACATGCACTCAATGTTTCATATTTTGAAATCTGGCATGCTTTTTCCTTTAGGTATTCCTATGTTTAGATTATTATTATTATAAGAAGAAAATATTTCTCAGATTTCAAATCTGTGGAAATCCTAATTTCTGGATTCAAACTTTGAATGTTTTAATGCACATCTATTTCTTTTATTCCATTGTTCCCAGTGCTTATTTTAGGTTGGGGTCCTACTTTGTTCATTTTTTAAAAAAAAAATTATTCAGGTAGTTATAATGGTCTTAATAAATTATAAAACTGATGTTGCTAATTGGCTGGATCTGTTTTCTATTGCTGCAAGAAGAAAGGCACCTCTGAGCATGTGCAGAGTATCCTCTTACTTCTGAGCAGAGATGCTATTTCAGACTCTAACCATATGCCGGGTAGAGGGAGAAGAAATTTGTCAGGGTCCATTTTAAGAACATCCATGATTATTATTTCCCATTAATAAGTAAAGCTGTGTAATAGCAGCAGCACATGTAGAAATATTGGTTTCAATTGTAATATCTTTTTGACATACAAGCCTCCTGATTTTGTAACCGGACCGGGTATGTGTGATTTTAACACACTGGTAGAATAGTTTCCTTGCTTTTAAGCCACATTTTGGATGGACATTTTGCACCTATTTCCTAACAAGCAGGAATTCACTCCCGCAGTCTCTTCAGCCCTAAAGTACTTTATCTTAATAAGTGCAGACAAAAAAGGTGAACAGGAGTCATTTGCTCCACAGTGAGTAAGCAGTGCAGATAGTACAGCAGAGAAGTACCTTTACTGCTGGAATAAACAACAGTCCTTTCTATTACTATCCTTTTTCCTGGTTTGGAATGTACTTTTGGTAATTCTTAAGATATAATTGCAGGATCTATAACCCACCCTGTAATGATTTGGGGGCATGTCCAGACTGCAGATTTAAACTACTATTGCCCTTGGGAACTATAGGTCTCTTCAGGGGGCTGGGGAGTCCATGCATTACTAGCAAATACTTATCAGCACCTCACCATACTCTGAAACTGCTGGGCCTGAGAGGTTGAAGATACATACGCCCCCACTGGTACACTGGTACCATAGACACCTGCCAAAACTATCAGGTGCCAAACCTGCCATGCCAGACTGCAAATGATGCTGCAGGAGATGTCCAGCACCATCAAAGACACTGGCCTTGGCACCCACCCCTGCCCACCTGGGCCTGGCAGCCTTGCATGGCAGCCATGCTGTGCGGGAGGGGTCCAAGCCATATGATGGGATCATCTCTGCTTACTGGAAAATGGGGAGTCACATCCCTCTGGGCCAATTATCAGCCACAGTCAGCCACCACTTTTGTCCTGGGCTCTGCAGATTGAAAGCAATGGACGAGGCATTGCCCTGTGTACACGCATCGCTGGGGTTTGTCGGCATGGCTGTGGTGTGCGTACAGGATCGTGTGGCTGGCAATTGCAGTTGCCATGTGCTTGGGATGTTGGTGGGAGCACGTGCTTTTGTTTACAGAGTCATGCTTGGCTGCGCTTGCTGTGCACATGTGTCGGCGGATTGCCTGGTGGGCAGAGTGTTAGGAGTGGTTCTTGGCAGCAACAGTATGGGCACCATAGGCTTGTGTTGTAGCCTCCACTGGGCTCAGGTGCTTTCCGCTGGCAGAGTTTGGATGCAACTGGTTTTGCACCGTCAGATTTTGCCCACAGAAAGGCAGAATTCCTATCATTTTGATGGCTCTGTAAGGGTAAAGGACCCCTGACAGTTAGGTCCAGTCGCAGATGACTCTGGGGTTGCGGCGCTCATCTCGCTTTACAGGCCGAGGAAGCAGGCGTTTGTCGGCAGACAGTTTTTCTGGGTCATGTGGCCAGCAGGACTAAGCCACTTCTGGCACAACAGAACACCGAAATTAGAGCAGCGCACGGAAATGCCGTTCACCTTCCCGCCACAGTGGTACCTATTTATCTACTTGCACTTTTGGGGGGGCGTGCTTTTGAACTGCCAGGATGCAGTGTTGTCATTTTATAGTTGAAAAGCCAAAAACAGAGTCTTGGTGCCATCTCTGGCTTCTTCCAAGCGCAACAACTTCAGTTCTCTTTTTTGTCACTGAATAGAATGCAGTGTTCTGAAATAGGCCTGATCCTCTGAGTTAATTTATAAGTCTGTCAGTTGAAGGACTGGATGTACTGGATGCCCCAAAAGCTACTGAAACTTAATGCACTGCATGTGAAAAGTTCATTAATGGAGTTGTAAAAATTAGAATAAAAAATGAAGCTAGGTTTATTGGAAGCTTAAGTTACATGTAATGAAATGGTTAGAATTGTGAAGCTCTATACCCCCTCCTCCTGCCCCCACTATAGTGCCAGTCAGTCTGCCAAGGGCAGAAGGTCTGTCTCGCCAGCCCTCACCTCCCATAATTTCAATTCTTGGGGGGGGGGGGAACATGGCCTGGCAGTGAGCAGCTGCAGCAATCCAGATGGTGGTTCAATAGCCTATAGATGCTCTTACCCTACGAGTAGTAGGTCAGCCAATTTGGAGCGTGCTTGAGAGCGCAATCTGGAACCTAAAAACTGCTTCAGGCTCCGAACTTGCAGCGTGCTCTTGAACAGTTGGTAAAGAGACAGCTCCACTTAAAACCATTTCCAGAGGGAAAGCTGTGTTTAGTCGCTTGCAACAGACACACCAGGGAGTCTTCTTGCGCCTTAAAAAACAACCAATTCATTATGGCATAAGCTTGTGGAGGCAAGAGTCCACTTCAACAGATGCCTGAGGTGTCAGCTTCCAGGGGCTTCTTCCTCAGACTGCTCTTTCCTTGAGCAGCTTATGCCAGGATTCTTTAAAGGCAGGTATCAGAAGAATGGTTCTGTACTTGCAATAATCCCATACTGTATGTCCAACGGTATTTGTACTCTTAGGATGCCCTGTCTATATTATTTTGCCTGCCCATCTGCCACTCCGTGTTCTTGCAAATCTAACGGTCAGAGTCGTCAACAAAGTGTGATTCAAACTTAGGCCCTCCTGGCAGACCTCTCTCTGGAAAACTCAGCCACATTGTAAAGATTCCAAAATCAGATTTCTAAAAGAAAGGTTTTTGCCCACTCTTAACCAGTCGCCTTTCCTTCTTCTTAGCTCAACTACCATGCTTCCTTTGTATTTCCTCCCAGTATGCCACGGGAGCCCATGTCAGGCTGGATTGCATGATAGCATGGCTTCTGGGTGGCAACTGATCAGATGGTTTCTTCCTTCAAAGGCATGCCCCAGAATTCTTCCGGAGAAGCCATGCCAGTTAAAGTGGTGTCAAAGGGTTAATTCACTTGCTACTTGTGTGTAAGGTGTGTGAAAAGTATGGAGTGGGGTCATAGGTTTAGCCTAACCCCTGACACTGTGTTGTCACCTTTCAAGAACTACCTGTTGCATGGAGTCATCTGTAAACAGAGCCTAACATGTGCACTCCTGCCTGTGTTGTAGGGGCTCTGCGCTGTTGGGACTGCTGCACCTCTGACTATCCTCACTGCATGGAAGCACAACCATTGAGCACATCAGGCTTTCTTTATAAATAGCAGCATGGAGCACATGCTGGTTGAAAGATGTAATTTTGAAGACTGGGTTAAAAGCACACTTACGTCTGATGCTAGGGGTGGAGAACTTCTGAGGCTTTGCATTTCGCCTTTGACAGAGCTGTCACTATGGGTGGGGTGGGGGGCTAGCCAGGATTTTTGCCTCAGGTGAAGCCTCCAGAGGAGCACCATTGAGGCTCCCAGCCTGTGTGTGTGTACACAAATGTGTGTGGGGGTACCAAACTGGGTCTTTGACCTAGGTGAAATAAAGCCTAGTTTCGCCCCTGCCTTTGAGATACCCCCACAGGCCACAAACTCATTGCGCTTTTGCCTGGCTGGAATGTATCATTGAACTGTGATAATGCCACTTGCTTGCTCAGGAGGAGAATGGAGGACTGTGTCTGTGGATACCATTGACCATTAGTATGTGGCTCTTGGAAGATTACCCAGGGGCGAAACGAGGCTTTATTTCACCCGGGTCAAAGACCCAGTTTGGCACCTTCCCCATGTGCATTTGGGTACACGCACACACACACAGGCTGGGAGCCTCAATGGCATCCCACAAGGTAATGTGAATTTTGCGCTGGAAAAGTTTCCTCACCCCTTCCCTGCACACAAATAACTCATGAATGAGTCCTAGGGTCCTGGGTCTAATATTATGCTTTTGATTCGGGGCGTGGGGGGGGGGACAACAACTTCCAGGCAGGCTTGAGGCCTAGCAGCCTGCTTCTTAGGAATTAAGCAGCTGTTTCCTTTCTCTCTCTCCAGTCATGCCCCTTTCCTCCCCCTCAAAATCTGATGTGTACCCGCTCTTGCCCCCTACCCAGGGTGTTTATTTGCTGAACTGAACTACTACATTCCATCTGGGCTCCCTAAATTGCGACGCCGGCGGCAGGTAGGTTTACTTCTCAGGCCAGCCGACTCTGCGAAGGCGCAGGAGGTTTGGGATCAAGGGAATCCATGCGCCTTAGAGCTGTGGGCCAATGGGAGGTCTCATGCTTTGCACGCAGAAGGTCCTGGGTTCAGTTCCTGGCATTTCCAAGGAGGGCTGGGGAAAAGCGCTGTCTGAAATTCTGGAAATCTGCTGCCACTCAGTGTAGGCAATGTCAGATAGACCAACCGGTTATCTGATTCAGGGAGATAGCTTCCTGTATTCTTTCCGCACAATTTATGGCAAAAAAATTGGAATCTCTGTGGTGGTCTGTCCTCAGTCACACATAGTCCTCTCTACCACCACCACCACTACCAAAGATAGCCTTGTCTTGTAACACTATCATACTTTCCCCAGGGTTATTATGGATCTGGGAAAATGCTGTTTCTCCTACCTTGGAAACTGTGTTCCTTTAGGGTGGCCATTAACCACTGGCAAAAAAGAGTGAATGTCACTTTGCCATAGCTGCCATTGAAAAGCGAGCTGTGGAAAGTATTGTGCAAAAGCTAAGATGCAGTTGGGACCTACTTTGAGTGATCTAGCAAAATATTATGATGGCATTCCAAAATATACTCTGGAGAGTGTTTCATTTGCATTCAGATCTCCTATTATGAGTGTCCTCAGTACATAATTTTTGAGAGAAGGGGTGAGTGGGCATGGGAGGAAGGGTTGGGTATACTCAGGGCTGCATATAAAATCTATGCCTGTTGGGTAGAGCGAGGCAGTTCTAAGATACCTAAGTAGGACCTATTTGACCCACCCTACCGCAGGGCCTGTAAGACAGAGTTGTGCCGCCTGGCCTTTGGCTTGGAATCAGCCTGATCCCTTCCCCCTCTTTCATTTTCCTTCTGTGATGGAACCCCTATTTGGGGACTTCCCTTGCATTTTTCTAGCCCACATAGGACCAGTCAGGCCTTGGTGAAGATTTGACGTTTTGTCCCCCCCCAAACAGTTTTTGATCTGGGCTTCCACTGAAATGAGGCTGCGTTTTAAGTTGTATTTTAATCCTGTTTTTAAGTTGTATTTTAATCAATTGTTTTTATACCTGATGTTAGCCTCCCTGAGCCCAGTCTTGGCCAGGGAGGGCGGGGTATAAATAAATATTATTATTATTATTATTATTATTATTATTATTATTATTATTACCCAGGTTCACCGAAGTCACCGGACTGTCCACAGCGAGACCAAATTCATTGAACTCATTGTAGTTAATGACCACCAGCTGGTGAGTGCTACCAAGAGGTGGGTCCAGGTCTGGGAAAAGAAATTGAGATGGGTGTACTGTGTTGTGATGGGAGACCTCTTAGAATGGGTCATAGGGAAGGCAGCCCTAGAAGACAGAAAGAAAAATAAGCCATCTCACCATAGGTACACCTGCCAACGCTGCTTCTTTGAGCAGGTGGAGGAACAGTGCTTAAGCAGATCTCCTTTCCAGTCCCACTCTGTAACCTGATTACCCATCTCTTTTTTAAAAGGCATGGTCAGTTTGTCCTTTGTTGAGGTCTTTCTCATCTACAAAGGCGCGGACAATTCATTCCTGCAGGATCAGTGTTGAGCACCGTATAACCCAGTGACTTTGCAAGCTAATGAAAATGAGTCAACAGCTAGAGCAAATCAGAGCTTCACACAAGACCTTAATTCAACAAAAGGTTGCAGCTGGTTTTTCACCTGCGGTGCGAAGCTGGGTTTGCCACTGGTGTTCCAGACGGACATACTAGCAAGTGAGCTTTTTGTCAGCCTGGACAGCTGCCATCACTGTCAGGAGGGCACCGCCCCTCTGCACCAGCCATTTCTGCTTTTTGTTCACTCTCTTTTTCCAGGGAATCCATATTACATCATCGCCAGTCCATTGCATTCCAGTGTTTTCAATATTGTCCTCCCACTTTTTTCAGACCTGATTTGTATATTAAATGCAATTACACTGCCAACCTGTCTAGTATGAATTGACAAATTTTCCAGTGCTATTGTGCCTTTAATTAGCAGCTTCCTTGTGACAGCTTCTGTGCCTGCTATTGCATCCAGTTCAGTGCAGCAGTAACATCACAGATGAATAGCCTCTTGATCAGTCATTTCCTGTTCCTTCTTAGGGAGTGGTAAACTACTGATTGCCTCTCATTTAAATGAAGTGTTAGTGGTGGAGGAGGAAAACAGTTATTTAATTCACCCCACCCAGATCAGGAACTGACTGATTAAGGGCATTAAGATTAAAGGCATTAGTAACACTGTGACTGTGCTGAACAGGAAGAGCAGAGGCTGCAATGTATTGGCTAAAGTACAGTGGTACCTCGGGTTACAGATGCTTCAGGTTACATACGCTTCAGGTTACAGACTCCGCTAACCCAGAAATAGTACCTCAGGTTAAGAACTTTGCTTCAGGATGAGAACAGAAATTGTGCGGTGCCGGCGCGGCAGCAGCAGGAGGCCCTATTAGCTAAAGTGGTGCTTCAGGTTAAGAACAGTTTCAGGTTAAGAACAGACCTCCGGAACGAATTAAGTACTTAACCCAAGGTACCACTGTATTGGAACTGGGACCTGCTCAGCTATAAAGCCTCTCCTGAGCTACGGAGGGGGAGGGGTTGCGGGCGCACGCCCCCACCCGCACTATCGCGGGGCTAGCCCAGCCCCGCGGGATACAGGGATCTCATACATATTCAATTCTGCCAGCGCCAGCCAATGGCGGGCGCTGGGGGCGGGGCTACCGGGGGGCACTTAAGGTCAGGGCAGCCTGGGCTCGCCCCTTTTCCTCCCCTGCAGCAACCCAAGGTACCACTGTATTGGAACTGGGACCTGCTCAGCTATAAATATTTGCATGAAAATGGTCAGGTTCAATCCCTGGTATCTCTAGATGGATCTAGGGGAGACTCCTGTCTGAAACCCTAAATAGCCACTGCAAGTCAATGAACTGAACTAGAAGATCCAAAAGTCTGTGTCGCTATAAGGTGCCGCCTTGTGCTTCAGAGCACATCTGGTGATCAGGACTCATTTCTGATTAAACACCAGGATTTGGCCACTAGGGCAATCATTGCCAAATAATTCAGTGGTTGATTGCAGAAGAGCAATGATTCAGCAGCACTCAAAGGCCCTAGTGTGGAAGAAATCTAGGCCATTGCTTGTGGCTTCTTTTATACATTGAAGGAAACTGATATTCCCACCACCAGAAAGCAAGCGTTGAATAGAAGGAGAAGCCACACATCCACACCTGACCACCCATGGCTGCTCCAGGTTCAGGGACTTCTAGCATGGGGTGATGTCCCTTAAACCCTTTTTCTTATGTTCTGTTTCAGTTTGAGCAGCTGCGTCGCTCCGTACTCCTTACCAGCAACTTTGCGAAGTCTGTGGTGAACCTTGCTGATGTGGTGAGTACAAGGGTACATTGCAACTCTGTCCAAAAAGGACCCATAATGTTCACTTCCCACTCTCCAAAAGATGAGAATTGTCAAGGCAGGAGATACTCTGCCCCATGGGAAAGGGTTCTATAGGGTCCTCCCAAGCATAGGAGCTACTCCCCATGCCATGATGACCCAAAAGAAAATGAGGATATGAAGTATCAAGGAGGGAATGTGTTTTGCTTTAGCTTTGATTTGGCATTGGGGTTGTTTGTTTGTATAGCCCACAAAGGCTTCTTTATGCCTGGGGAGGATGCCACAGGTATATGATGGCTGAGCCCCATTTCCCTTGAAGCAGGACCTCTGATTTTCTATTTCTGGTGCCCAGATCTATAAGGAGCAGTTGAACACAAGGATTGTGTTGGTTGCCATGGAGACATGGGCATCAGGGGACAAGATCCAGGTAGATGAAGATTCCCTGGAGACACTGAGCGAATTCATGAAGTACCGCCAAGATGCTCTTTCTGAGAACAGTGATGCTGTACATCTCTTCTCGTGAGTTTTGAATGGGAACCTGACTACCTTGAAAGAGGGTTGCCAGCTTTTCACTTGTCCTAGCTACTGTAGCTATGCTTTTGATGGTAGGCTGATGGTAGGTTGAACGTTATTCATGTGTTCAAAGAACCCACATGGGCATGAAACCTTGAACATTCCTATCAAATCTTCCCATAACAGAAAAGTCCAAAGGGGGAATCTTTAGGTATTAGGATGAATGTGCTTAGAATTCTCTCCAACTCCGATATTCACCCAAATGCACTCATCAAAGAAGGTTGGGGTGGAATTGTTGCGGGTGGTACTGCTTTGCATGTCTCCTCCACAATTTATACCCACATGTGTTCTTTCAATACATGAATAAGGCTATTCACAAGTAACGATGCTGATCTTCATGTAATGAAAAAGTTCACTTGCTGATTTCTGACCATTACGCTTTTATACAGGCACAAGTTCAGGTCAGGCTGGTCTGTGGCAGCTTTAAGTGGCAAACCTTCTGGTAGCCTGGCAAATGGACTTCGCTGGTACTCTCCAGTGTTGTAGCCACTTCCACCTGCAAGTCACGCTGCGAGTTATATTTCTTTCTAGAGATTTCCCAGATATCATTATTTGAGCTTTCTTGGGAGGTGAAGCAAAATGATACCTAGCAAGAAGTGAGATGCTAGAGCTCACAAGCTCTGTAATTTAATTAGGATACATTTTGCAAGAGGTTGCCTATGAAATCAAACTAGAGCGGAGCTTTCCCCCCTAGCGTAATAGGCAAAAGAGCAGCTCTTAAATCAGTTAAAATTAGAATATATTGACAGACCATAACGAAACAAAACAGGGACAAACCTTCATTTCAGTCTTTGCAATCTAAAGTATGCCAGTGCAAATGGTATCTCCTTTTTAATGTGCATCTTGATAAAAAGCATGGGCTTATGGGTGCAGACTTTGGATTCTGGGTGCTAAATGTGCTCTGGGGTGGGGACTTTTGATTCAAGGGGAAGAGCAAGGGTGATGGTGGAGGTGTTCATACCTTGACCAGTATGGCTCTCCCCAGCTCTTCCTATATCCAGAGACCACGAGCCGACATATGTGATTGCCTCTTTTCCACTACAGCCCTGAATCCATATCATCACCATCATCGTTTTTAATTTGTATACCACCTTTCTTTCTTACAATACTCAAGGCGGTTTACAAGCTGAAGAAACAAAAAATGTACATTTTATAACAATCTAATGCAATACAAAAATGTGATAATAAAACATAACTTTAAAATAGGTAACCTCCATCAAAAAAGTAGCATTCAACCAATCATTAGAATAGTATAAAATAATAATCAACATATAAAAGTTAAACAGAAATCCACTCAACAGTTACAATAATATCTAAACTATAATCAATAAAACAATGGCATGCCACAGTACATAAAACAATACAATGCACATTGGGAAGCAGAGGGTAGAGCAAGGCAGGTGGAAAGAGGCCTTGCCTGGTGGAGTCTCTCCCCTCACAGTTCTTCCTCCAGGACCAGCTCCCTTATGAGGACTCCTAGGGCTGGAGGTTGGGGCAAGGCAGGTGGAAGGAGGCCTTGCCTGATGGAGTCTCTCCCCTCACAGCTCTTCCTCCAGGAACAGCTTCCTTATGAGGACTCTTAGGGCTGGAGGTTGGGGCAAGGCAGGTGGAAGGAGGCCTTGCCTGATGGAGTCTCTCCCCTCACAGTTCTTCCTCCAGGACCAGCTCCCTTATGAGGACTCCTAGGGCTGGAGGTTGGGGCAAGGCAGGTGGAAGGAGGCCTTGCCTGATGGAGTCTCTCCCCTCACAGCTCTTCCTCCAGGAACAGCTTCCTTATGAGGACTCTTAGGGCTGGAGGTTGGGGCAAGGCAGGTGGAAGGAGGCCTTGCCTGATGGAGTCTCTCCCCTCACAGTTCTTCCTCCAGGACCAGCTCCCTTATGAGGACTTCTAGGGCTGGAGGTTGGGGCAAGGCAGGTGGAAGGAGGCCTTGCCTGATGGAGTCTCTTCCCTCACAGTTCTTCCTCCAGGAACAGCTTCCTTATGAGGACTCTTAGGGCTGGAGGTTGGGGCAAGGCAGGTGGAAGGAGGCCTTGCCTGATGGAGTCTCTCCCCTCACAGTTCTTCTCCAGGCAACTGTTCTAGCTTGTAGTATGGGGATGAGGAATCTGTGGCCCCTCCAGATCTCCTTGGATTCTAGCTCCCCCCAGCCTCTGCTAGCATGGCCAATGGTCAGAGAATATGAGAGCTGTAGTCCAACAAGATATGGAGTGCCACAGGGCAGCCAGTCCTGCTGCAGTAAGTGAATAAGAGGAAAGCACAGAAATACTGGTCAAAGCTACCCTTTCCCTCTCCTCCTCCTCTCTTCTTCCTCCAGCGGACACACTTTCAGAAGCAGCCGCAGTGGTACGGCATACGTCGGAGGGATTTGCTCAGTCACTCGAGGTGGAGGTGTCAACGAGGTGAGCGGGGCAGATACTGGACCTGGAATTTATGGGATGTTGAAAGTGGGGAACTAAAGCTGCATGCTCCTCCAACTCTACCGCTCTCAGCTGCCCAAGATTTCTCCTAAAACTCCCCTCCAATTCTCTCCTGCTACCTCTGGAACGCCTTGAGCACCTCTATGAGACTACCTCTCTCTCGCTTTCAAAGCTTCTGTTTCTGGGAAGCCTTAGCCACAGAGATGAGGAAGCCAGGGCTCTCTAGATGCTGTTGGGGCACCTAGTCCCAGTCAGCATGGCCTGTGGTCAGGGCTGGTGGGAGTTAGGAATCCAGCAGCACCCAGAAGGTCACAGATTCCCCATCCCCATTCCCCGCACTCAGATAAAGACTAGATTTTTGTGCTTGCACTTGTTCACATTTATCTCTCATTTCTTTTTTTTGACCTCTCATCTACATTTAGATTGGGGGATCCTTGAGAAAGGGGTGTGTCTTGTTTGCTAACATTAGTCTGTAAAGCACTATAGACTGTTATGAGACTACATAAATAATTAGCATAGGAAAGATCACAAGCAGGTGCTGATTATGCCCTGTCCTAAGATTGGGTGGGACAGCGGGTGGCGCTGTGGGTAAAAGCCTCAGCGCCTAGGACTTGCCGATCGAAAGGTCGGCGGTTCGAATCCCTGCGGCAGGGTGCGCTCCCGTTGTTCGGTCCCAGCGCCTGCCAACCTAGCAGTTCGAAAGCACCCCCGGGTGCAAGTAGATAAATAGGGACCGCTTACTAGCGGGAAGGTAAACGGCGTTTCCGTGTGCGGCTCTGGCTCGCCAGAGCAGCGATGTCACACTGGCCATGTGACCCGGAAGTGTCTCCGGACAGCGCTGGCCCCCGGCCTCTTGAGTGAGATGGGCGCACAACCCTAGAGTCTGTCAAGACTGGCCCGTACGGGCAGGGGTACCTTTACCTTTTTTACCTTAAGATTGGGTAGAGTGAAACAGCCAATTCTGGGTGTAATGAAATGGCAGGAAATTGCTAACTTATTTGATTTAATTTATTTTTGCTGCCAGGGAAGGAGGAGAGGTGTTTGTGGGATTCTCTGCCTTGAGTACCAGAATAAGCACCTTGGCTGCACCTTGATGGAAGTGGGCTGCTCAGCCTATCTGTAAATGTATTGGGCTGGCTCTGATGCTGATATTCCCAGAGTTGAATGCCCAAGGGAGGCCAGTGACCTGGGCCACTTGATCTTTAAACTGGCCACAATAGGGGCAGAGATAAACCTACTCAAAGCAGCGCTCCACAAGATGAGCCTTGGCTTCCTAACATGATGTCATCTTCTTCCTTCCCAAAGTATGGCAACGTGGGAGCAATGGCTGTAACGTTAGCACAGACCCTGGGGCAAAACATTGGAATGATGTGGAACAAGCACCGTACCTCTGCAGGTAAGTAGATGGGTGTCAGACTGAATGGAGAGATAGCCTGACCTGACCGTAAGCAGGAGTCCACAGGGCGCAGTAGACATCTAAGCATATTTAGACAGAAGTTACCATATTTTTCGCTCTATAGGACGCACCCGACCATAGGACACACCTTGTTTTAGAGGGGGAGAACAAGAAAAAAAATTCTGAAGGGGCGCTGCGCAGCTCTCCCTCTCTGCTGAAACCAGGAGAGTCTTGCTCTTCCGGCTTCAGCAAAAGGAACCCGAAGCCTCTGGAGCGCAGCGGGAACTCGCGCTGCGCTCCGAAGGCTTTAGGTGGCTATCCCTGAAGCCTGGAGAGCGAGAGGGGTCAGTGCACACCGACTATCCCTGAAGCCTGGAGAGCGAGAGGGGTCAGTGCACTTACGCTAACCAGATCTGGAGCTCCACAGGCTTTTTATTCCAACTAACCATCTAATGCCCCATCCCCTTCTTGAAGAGTGGAGAGCTTCAAGGGTAGCCCTCTGGTCTGAAGCATAGCACTCCATGGAATCTGAGTCTGTTCTCCCCTGGTGCTGAAAGCACCCTGTGCTTGGTACCAAGGAATTCAAGGCCCCAAGGAATCTGACTCAGGGATTGCTGTTTCTGGGGGTCCCAGTTTTGATGACTGTGACTCGTGGGCCTCATGACTGACAGGCTTCAGCTTAGTATCAGGGCCCAGGTGTGGGTTCAGCACCTCAACAGCTTGCATCACTGGCCGTCCTGATGCAGCTGGTTCATCTTGCTCTTCTGCGTCAGAGTTTGGCTGCTGATCAGGGTTCAGATCATGACAGTAGGGAGCGATGACAGCCTCTGAGAAGAGTGAGATTGCAAATATGTACACGCTCTGATTTCTGAACTGGAGACATACTCTTAAGGCAAGTCTGATCTCCGTAGCCACTCTGGTGAGCTGCTCAAGAGCTGAGCTTGCTAGATCAAATGAAACTGCACCATTCTGCCACTTGTCTGAGGTGTTATGCAAACAAATCAGTTTGCACTGTGTGAAATATAAATTTGGCCAATGGTTAGCTACTGGAGTAAAGGATCGGTCACCGAGCCTTGTTGGAGATTCTTAGTGCAGGTTATACAGACAGAATTGCTGTTAATGGGATGTATTGTCCTAAGACAGAGGATGGGATAAGTGACATCTGGGGATAACAGTCCTAGGATTCTTTGATTATAAGAGGGGTCACCAACCTAAGGCCCATGGGCTGGAGGCAGCCCCTGGAGGCCATTTTACCAGCCCACGGGCTGCCCCCAAACTGGGCTGCCTGCTCCTGCGCTGTGCTAAACCGGCGCAGCGCAGCATGGGGACTCGCTTCCGCGGTGCCGAAAATCGCATCTGTGCATGCGCAGATGCCAAAAATCGCATCTGCACAGATGCTGACGCTGAAAATTGCATCTGCACAGACACAGATGCCGAAAATCACAGGTGCGCTTGCTTGCGCGCGCGATCTGGCCCACGGAGGGATCTCCGCAGGACCGATCCAGCCCAGGTGAGATAAACCTTGCTGACCCCTGGATTAGAAGGTTCCATTTGAACGAATAGCTAGGGACTTTGGAGACACAAATTATAGGCAGAGAAAAGTCACAGAATATGCCCCTCCCAGTTCCTTAACAAGGCATCTCCTTCTTTTCTTATCACCCCATTTCTCTGCAGGCGACTGTCGCTGTCCCGACTCATGGCTGGGCTGTATTATGGAGGACACTGGGTGAGTGTGGGGAAGAGATGAGGCTCACCAAAGGGCGAAACTGTTGGAGGCGTGCTTCACTTTGCAGTCAGGAACAGCATCCTCATTAATGTATGCCCATGGCTCTCTTCTCTAACCGACAGATTCTACCTGCCACGGAAGTTCTCACGCTGCAGCATTGATGAGTACAATAAATTCCTGGCTGATGGTGGGGGGAGCTGTCTCTTTAACAAGCCACTGAAGGTAAATCCAAAGCACTCGTCTGCTCACCTATAGCCTACAGCCAAAGAATCTTCCGAGAGAGTGCAACTCCATTCAGAACCGGCTGCCTTGCCACTTCCCGGACTCGATAACTTGGAACACATAAAACCTCCTATCTTGTCTGGATTCAGCTTCATTTTCTTTGGCCTCAGTCCAGCCCATTAATGCCTCCAGGCACCGGTCCAGCACCTGAACAGCCTCTTCCGATTCAGATGGCATGGAAAGATAGAGCTGAGTGTTGCCCGCATATTGATGACACCTTGTTCCAAAACTCCTGATGATATTTCTCAGCGGGTTTGTGAATGTGTTAAAAAGCACCGGGGACAGGAGGCAGCACTGTGGAATTCCTCAGGTTCTGGAATCAGTAGAAAGCAGTATCCCTGGGCTCACACTTCCATGGCATTGGTTTGGTCCAGAAGGTGCTGTGGCCATCAAAAGCCACAGAGAAGTCAAGGGGAATGGACCTGGTTATCAACCAGAGCGACCAAGGCAGTGTCCTTACAACTGACTTGAGATCAGAATGAAATAGGTCCAGACACTCGGCTTCCTCCAAGCATTGTCCAGCCACAATGTTAGGATCTTTTGGTGTTGCAAGTGTATGATTTAGGGTGACCCCAAAATTATTTGGGGATACATAGCTCAAGTTCTGTATTGAATTATACGTACGTTGGCAAAGTTTGGTGTGGAGGCAGCAGAGATGAGATGGACTTGCATTGAAATGAAGCATTTGAGTCAGATGTGGTGCTAGTGCACCTCAAAGACCACAGATTTCTAGTGAAATGGTGGCCCAGAGCTGCTTATGGGGTGCACACTTCCACTGTCTTACTCATTTATGCTTATACTGGCAAGTACTCTTGTGGGCCTCACACTCTTTTGACTGTGTCTTGTGCAAAACCACTACAACCAACTCGAAAAAACATTGGGCTATGGTGGGTGTGGCCAACTTCCAAGAGACTGTGATCTACTCACAGAATTAAAAACTGGCAGTAATCTAACCCCGTTTTTTAGGGGTTCAAGTCAAAGTTGTTCAGCTTTTTTTAGGGAGGGGAAAAGCCCCATTTTTAGGGGGTTCGAGAGGCATAAGTTGTTTAGCTTTGGGAGGGGGGGCACAACGTTTTTACATTATTTGGGGTCAAAGAGAAACAGCAACTCACCGAAGGGTTGCTGGGGGGGAAACAGCCTCAGTTTGTAAACTCCGTCTTCCATTCTCCAACAATGGAGGGCGGGGAGAGAGGGTGGGGCCGGAAGGAGGCCAACGATCAACTGTGATCGACCAAAACCTCGCAGGGATCGACCAGTAGATCGCAATCAACCTGTTGGACATCCCTGGGCTAGGGCATCTCTTCAGTAACATTATTTGGGGGAGGGGGACTAAAGTGGCACAAGTGGAAAGGAGAGACAGCTATGCGCTGGGGGCTAGTTACTCTCTCGCTCTCTCTCTCACACACACACATTTATCTGATGGTCAGAAAGGCATAAATTGGTCCTTTTTTATTTCTTCTCCTTGCTCCCTTCAAAAATCAATAGAAAGAAACCTGTTAATTCTTTTATAACGTTCAAACCCGGCAGCATCACCGTAGACATAACTTCTTATGTTCATGAAATATTTGAAGATTGAATCCTGGCCATCTGCTGATGATACTTTTGGAAGGGCTTTCCTGGGCCGTGTTAAATTTTTAATTTGTAAACTAGATTGCTCCGTCATTGCCAGCAGCACAGTGTCAATGCAAGAAATCAGTGGTCAGCTAGGCTGCCGCTTGGTGCAACAGTGGAGAAATTTAGTTTATGGAAGGATAACTTAACAAAAAAATGCCGCTTCCATCTCTACTCTAACAGCAAGCCTCCTCCATTCCCTCAAAATGGGGCCATGAAATGGGGGGGGGGGTCAGTTTTGGCCTAGTGCAAAAAGGAAGTGGGGCATAGAATATCAAGGTATACATGCAAAATGAGAAGATGGCTTGGAGGCCGCTAAAGATTTAATCTCTTTTCTGCCCCCCCCCCCGTTGTTACAGCTCCTTGATCCCCCTGAATGTGGTAATGGATTTGTAGAGGCAGGAGAAGAATGTGACTGTGGGTCTCTGGCGGTAAGTGTCAAGTGGGGCTGAAACTGCCATGTGGGTGGAGGTGGGGTGACGGGGGAATGGCATTGCTGGACTTGGGCCTCTTACAGTCCTGCCTTCTGCATGCTTATGAGCTCCTCATATTATTTCAGAAGGCTGGGGTATTTCAGGAACTTGGTGCAAGACACAATCCTTGGCATGGGCAGCTGACTGGGGCTCCAAAATATCTGGAGAGCACAGACTTGTGGAAGGTTATCTGCCATAGAGGGGGGACAGTAGATAGTGAGTGGGGACAGAAAGTAGTGGAAAGGTAAAGGGACCCCTGACCATTAGGTCCAGTCACGGACGACTCTGGGATTGTGGTGCTCATCTCACCTTACTGGCTGAGGGAGCCGGTGTACAGCTTCCGGGTCATGTGGCCAGCATGACTAAGCCACTTCTGGCGAACCAGAGCAGCGCACGGAAACGCCGTTCACCTTCCCGCCGGAGTGGTACCTATTTATCTACTTGCACTTTGACGTGCTTTTGAACTGCTAGGTTGGCAGGAGCTGGGACTGAGCAACGGGAGCTCACCCCGTCACAGGGATTCGAACCGCCAACCTTCTGATCGGCAAGTCCTAGGCTCTGTGGTTTAACTCACAGCGCCACCCGTGTCCCTCCTGCATCACTAAAGCACTGAGGTGGAGACTGGGACACATGGCAAAATTCTCTCAGCGAAAGCCTTGGAGGATCCTGGCAGTCTCCAGTCTCAACACAAAGGGCCCAGTTCAGAATTCAAGGCAGCCATTGTTAGACAGGGTTTGTTTCAGCTCTGATCCAAAATTAACAGCTGGCTATTCTCTCTCTCTCTCTCTCTCTCTCTCTCTCCCGTTCTCTCTGCTTTGCCCCCTTGAAGGAGTGCTCCAAAGGTGGGGGGAACTGCTGCAAGAAATGCACATTGACGCACGATGCTATGTGCAGTGATGGCTTGTGCTGCCGAGGGTGCAAGGTAAGTGGGTGAGATTGGCAGCAGTGGTGAGGCGGGGGGGAGCTGTTCCCACGGGCATAAGCTCCACTCGGAGTCTACTTGGCACTAGTTTTAAGCGAGGCACCTTTTTAAGGAACTCTGCAGCAGATGAAAAATCAGCTGTGCCTGTGGGCGTGCTGCAAACTAGGCCAAAGCACAGTGGGCACTGCCCATGTGAGGTATGAATTTTATTGCACAATTGTCTGTGGTTTTCTACAAAATAAATCCAGGCAGATAAAGCATGATACATCACACGCATATCATACATTCACACCCATCATGCATGTGTACGTATGTGTATGTGACACACTCCCCTTCCAGGTCATTAGTCTACTCCACAACTGCTTAGTTCAGCTGTCTTATAGAAGCTTCTAGACTATTCACAGGGACTGAACCCCAACATGTTGTGTTGTGTTGAAAAAGTCCAGCTCTAGATATTACTGTGGGTCCTAGGCTTGAGGTGAGCCTTTCTGCAACCACTTGACTCATTGGGTGCTTCCAGACCGTCACTATTCTTGGCTAGAATTCAGTCACTCCCTGGCAGATTCAGGCAGTGGTGTAGCCTGGGGGGCTGGTTGCCCTGGGCGCATTTTCTGAAGGATGCTTGACTAGGCGCCCCTACAACAGCCTCTCATCGGAGCCTGACTCTGGAGCTGCGGAGGCAGCTTCCTTTTGTGCAGCTCCACTTCCGGGTCAGGGGAAAAACAATGCTGTCCAAGGTTGTAAAGACTGCGGAGAGAATAATTGGGTGCACTCTTCCCACCTTGGAACAAATCTATGCTTCCAATGTCACCTAACCTCCCTGCAATCAAAGCAGAATGAATTTTCAGTAAATAGCCGGTGTTGTTTTATGCAAACAAACCTGGATGAACATTCGGTAAACAGATGTACAAGCAACTGCAGGAAGTTGCCATTGCTGCTCTCATTATTCTTTTCTATCAAAAGAAGTGACATCACGAATGCAGCAAGCCATGCTGCTCCAGGGAGAGTGCAGACAATATTTCTCTTTCTGCATTGAGAATGGTTGGGAAAGGAGTGTTTGAGTAGACTGCGGAGCCTAGCTTCCCCTCACCTCCAAGGCCAGTGTTATGTACTGAAGTTCTCACCCTGGGCCAGCAGGGGGATACTGTAGATAGTTATGCAAATGAAGGATCGAAAGTGACGTTCAGTGATTGGATAGTTTGTATGCAAATGAAGGATCGAAAGTGACGTTCAGTGATTGGATAGTTTTAGAAAGTTGTTACAGTACCAAGGTACTGGAGCTCTATATAAGCAGGCTGACTGAGCCCTTCAGTTCAGTTCTGTTCTGGCTTCTGAATAAACAAGAGCTGTTTGAAGAATCGCTGTGTCGTCTGATATGTTCACCCGCAACTTAACAGCCAGCACACTGAGCAAGAAATGTGGGAAGATGTTTCTGCCTGTTCCCTTTCCTTACCAGCCAGTATTAAATAACTCTTTTGCTTCTTTCGCATCTTGCACCCTGCAGTATGAGCCACGGGGTATAACCTGCCGAGATCCCGTGAATGAGTGTGACATCCCTGAAACCTGCACAGGTGACTCCAGTCAGGTGAGATGGGCAAGTTACCAGGCAAAGATCTGATCAGGAGGATCAGGAAGATGCACTGCAGGGTTCCAGTCAAACCACCTCCCTTTTGAACACCAGGAGATGCCTCCTGCACCTCCAATATCTGATTCTCCCGGGCTTTAATTTCCAAAATGAGATGCACATGAGCCAAATTCTGGCAGGAAGCTCTCAAGCTAATCTGGATGCCCTATCCTCCAATCCTAGCTATGTGGAGAACTGGTTAATTTAGTGACTCTTGAGCTGTGAAGAATCTTGTCTTGTTGTATATTGAATATTTATGTTTGTCTTTCCCCTCTCTCTGTATTTTTTTCTTTGCTCCATAGTGCCCACCCAATTTGCACAAGCAGGATGGCTATTTTTGTGACAATGAACAGGTAAGGTTGGTATCTCAGCTTCGCACTTGGGTGTGATATCCCTGGCATTACTGCCAGTGAGGGGCATAGCTGCACCCATAGTCAGTTGCATCCATGTGCCTTTGCCATGCACAGGCTGGACAAACCCTGGTCAGTTCCAGCACCAGGGAAGGAAAGCAAGGGAATGAATGTATGGTTAAAGCTGTTGCACCCACTGCCAGAGAAGTGTGCCTGTGCCTTTTAAGGGTTGCATAGCGGGTGGAAATTCTGCTAGGGACAATTTCTCCTAGCAGTGCACCACTGTGATAGGGGAAAGCCAGCTTTGGTGAAATGTTCACTTATAGGCAATTCAGAAAAGTACAAAAGTCATCTCAGTGTAGAGATTGACCCAGCCCACAGAAGGAGCTCACTGCTAGCTTCTGTTAGAAATAATAATGTCCCATAGAATGGAGAGGGAAACCGTATCTTTGTAGAGTGGCCATATATTGTACGGCTTGAGAGTAGGGAGGAAATCAAGAGTGTGATGAGTCAAGTCGCCTGAGCATGATGCAGCTTGTGTCTGATTGTTATATTATCAGACGAAGCTGATCAGCAGGACACACCTTTATTTGTTTCTACTCCCTCCTGCTCTGAAAGCAGCAAGCTTTTCATGCTGGTCAGGCTCCCAGTGTGTTGAGATTTCCTGGGAATGCAGCTTCTTGTCTCCCTACCCATTAAGGTAAAGGTAAAGGGACCCCTGACCATTAGGTCCAGTCATGGCCGACTCTGGGTTTGCGGCGCTCATCTCGCTTTACTGGCCAAGGGAACCGGCATACAGCTTCCGGGTCATGTGGCTAGCATGACTAAGCCGCTTCTGGCGAACCAGAGCAGCGCACGGAAACGCTGCTTACCTTCCCGCTGGAGGGGTACCTATTTATCTACTTGCAGTTTCACATGCTTTCAAACTGCTAGGTTGGCAGGAGCAGGGACCGAGCAACGGGAGCTCACCCCGTCATGGGGATTCGAACCGCCCACCTTCTGATCGGCAAGTCCTAGGCTCTGTGGTTTAACCCACAGCGCCACCCACGTCCCTCCCTACCCTCCCTACCCATTAATTTATGCTAAAGGAAGTTTCATTGGCTCCAAATATGGAGAAAGGGAAATTGCTTGGGGAAATTCTAGTTTATTTGTAGTGACCCCAAATTATCCAGACCTCTGCTCTGTAGAATAGCTACTCTAACGGTTCATGCAACCTTAGTACTGCAGAGACCTGAGGAGCTGAATCTGCACTCCCAGGCCCCATACATTAGAGCCTTCTATTTGTCCACGGAGGCATATGATCAAGTGAGGATCTTGTGAACCTCTAACAACTCTGACTTTCTCCTGCGCAGGGCCGGTGCTACGGAGGGCGTTGTAAAACCAGGGACCGCCAGTGCAGTGCATTGTGGGATCGTGGTAAGTAGTGCTCTTAGTCACTCGGATGGGTGGGGGATGGTGTAGCGAAGCCTGGTTTCACGTTGCCACTACGTCCCCATAACATCAGTGGGTGATGTGTGGCTGTGGAGGATGTGCAGGTACAACTGCTTTGCTCCTGTTTTCCCAACGATGTGCGTTGCTGCTGCTTACCAAGATGGGGAAGCACAGGGCACTGGGAGCTTTGGTGTGGTGTGGGTGCAGCAGTAGGACCAATCCCTTCCCCATCTCTGTAAGTGACAGCAATACGCAGCTTTGGGAAGACAGAACAGCCACCCTACCTGCATAACCCCACCAGGTGCTCTTCCTGAAGGCTCTTCCTGTGGCTTTAAAAGGAGCAGGGCAAGGAGGATGTACGCAGCTGTATCACCTCTCATTTTGATACCCACTCTGTTGCCCCACTGCTCTCTTTTGCTGGCAGTGGGGTACAACTAGGGTGAGAGGCATATTGTTTGAGTTCTGGCCAGGAGGTTATAGACCTAGCAACCTTAGCTGGAGGTGGTTAATGGCTTGAGTCAATGAGGGACAACATAAAATGATCCTGCGGCCATGCCTAGGTTTGAAAGGCTGATGAGGGTTCAGCACCAGCAAATCACTGATGAACAGATAGCAGTATCCTCAGCCTTCCCTGTCATTGCCTCCCCAAGAGATGCTAACATGCAAAATTTAATTGCGAGACAGAGGGAGAGAGAGAGTCTTCAAACTCGTCCATCTATAGGCTAGTTTCTCAGTGATACCCAGCCAATCTCTTTCTCTGGCTGGCTCCGATTCCATCTTGTATCCTGATTTTTCCAGTGCCAAGTCAAGAGCAGAGGGCAAGGGCTTTGCAGCATTTCACAACATTAGTCTAATGAAATAGTCAGGGCTACACCACAGCTAAAGACCAGACATGCTGTTCTTGTTTGGCACGATGTAGTTGTTGTTGTTTAGTCGTTTAGTCGTGTCCGACTCTTTGTGACCCCATGGACCAGAGCACGCCAGGCACCTCTGTCCTCCACTACCTCCCGCAGTTTGGTCAAACTCATGCTGGTAACCTCGAAAACACTATCCAACCATCTCGTCCTCTGTCGCCCCCTTCGTACGATGTAAGAGGGGCTTAATTTGTAAATTGTGCCCCCTTGGCACGATGTAAGAGGGGCTTAATTTGTAGTTAACAGTCTGGGTTGCTTAAGTTGGATGCTCTCTGAAACTGGCACTGACTTGCAAAAAAAGCTTTGTACCAAGATGTCCTTAGAAGGCCTCCAATGGACTTGCAAGCTTGGTATACCGTAGTCCAGCTCATTGTCCGATCACAGACTTATCCACTAGTAGCCTCACTTAGGTTAACACTTGCAATCCAGATCACAGTTCACAACATGCAGAGGCGCCTGAGGAACAAATGCCCCTGAATGACTCAAGCTGCTGATTTAGACCAGTAAGTGCTATATCCTAAGAGGTGTCCAAAATCATTGATGAGAACTTTCAAGGTAGGGATAGATCATTCTGGGTTTGTAACAAAGAGGAACGTTGAAACAAAATAAAAAAATTCCTTCCAGTAGCACCTTAGAGACCAACTAAGTTTGTTATTGGTATGAGCTTTCGTGTACATGCACACTTATTCAGATACCACACGAAAGCTCATACCAATAACAAACTTAGTTGGTCTCTAAGGTGCTACTGGAAGGAATTTTCTTTATTTTGTTTTGACTACGGCAGACCAACACAGCTACCTACCTGTAACTAGAAAAAGGAATGTGTCATCCACAAATAAGGCGAGTAATTCCCTGGGATTCCATGCAGTCCAAACCCTGCTTTTCCAAATTGTGAAAGTGGAGAAGGGCAGAGAGAAGAAAGCAGCATCTCGACCTCAGTCACCACAATAGTGGCAGCAAAATATACTGTCACAATCCAGTTAAACTGTGGACTATTCAGTTATGAAGGTTTGCCTCTCCGAGTGTAAAACTAAAACCCCAGATACCCAACCTGCTTTGCATTTGTCCTGCTGTTGTTAGATTGGGATCTTATGATACTAGCAACATTTTTGGACGGGTAATATAAACCCCAAGGCCTCACCAGCTTTGAGTCTGGTAAAAAGTTGTGTTCCATGGATATCTTCCCAGTGTCACAGTAATAAATGAGTACAGTACTGTACTGCAAACTGCCGGTCATCTGAAGGCACCAGCGCCACCTTCAGACCAATGGTAGAATTACACCCTTCCTTGCAAAATATTTTTGGAGCAAAACCCCCCAGGGTTTTTGGCTTTCGCTAGAAGTCCTGATGAGCAGCTGTTCAGAAGAGTAGCTCTGCAGAGAATATAATGCTGGGTCAGGGAAGTATGGAGTCTATGTGTGTTATGTTCTCTGGTATGTCATACCTCTCTCTTCTTTTCCTCCCTGGGACTCAAGCTTCAGCTGAAAGGTTTTGCTATGAGAAGCTGAATGTTGAAGGCACTGAGCGAGGGAACTGCGGGCGCGAGGGGAACCGCTGGGTGCCCTGCATCAAGCAGTGAGTAATCTCAGATTTCGCCCTTTCGCAGAATGCACTGTGTCCCCTTCCTACAATGCACAGCACCAGACCACCACACTACCGCAGCCGCCAAGCTGGTGCAAAATCCCTTCTTTTCGTAGCTTATCTGGTTCTTTCTCCTCCCCCTGTGCTCAGAGACGTGTTGTGTGGATACCTCCTCTGCGCCAACGTGACAGGTTCTCCGCGTATGGGCGAACTTCTTGGTGAGATCACCACCATGACTTTCTATCACCAGAAGCGTTACGTTGACTGCAGGTTAGTGGAGCCTCACAATCTAGATCCATCTGCTGTGGGGGGAGGGTTAAGCACTTCCTCCCCGGGTGTTCTTTTCTCAGCAAATTAGCAAAGTCCGGCTGGCAGAGTCCTGCAGGCACACCGCCACAACTTCCATGTAGATTGCAGGAGTCCCTCACAGTACATCATGAGATGCAGCAACAGGAATTGTCAAAAGAAGTCGCTGGTAGGCCCCTCTCCCTCCCGCATTATCTCCACCAGCATTGTAATTATAGAGCCTTGTCTCTTTCATGTGTGGGAGCAATGAAGTATTCCACCCACACAGTGGAACTATTCTTTTCCTCTCCTAGGGGCGGCCATGTGCAGCTTGTGGATGGCACGGATGTGAGCTACGTGGAAGACGGGACGCCCTGTGGACCCAGCATGCTGTGTCTTGACCACAAATGCCTTCCTGTATCCGCCTTTAACTTCAGCACCTGTCCAGGCAGCTGGGGTGGCCAGATCTGCTTTGACCACGGGGTACAACTTGCAAACAAGTGCCTTGCTCTTGGCATATGCTTAGCAGTACGGTCTGCACAGATGCAAATATTGAGCCATCTGCTCCAGTTTCCTTGGCTTTATTTCCTCCAGGGGCCAAGTCTTGGGGACAATGGTTTTGAAACTGGAGGGTTGAGAGGGAGCCTCCTTTAGTCTTTTCTGAAGTTGGAAAGTATGGATCAAAATGGATGTCATCATGACCCAGTCCATACATTTAATAATTACGTTCTATGAGCATAATATGGTGTATTACGTGATGGCAAAATCGAAAGTGATGGATGCATTTAATTTCTTTGAGAATAATCTCATTCAGAAATGGTCTCTCCCCGCCATGGGGGAAAAGGCTAGAAAACAATGCTTTGGCTTCTTTTTTAATGTGGTTGGGGGATTTAAATTTGTTTTCCCCATTTCATCTTGTAACTGTGTCCACGCCACCATAGGGGAAAGCAACTTGCTTCTTCCAAAAGCAGCCCAAGTGGACATTTTTAGGATACTAACCAAATATCAGAGGAACATTTTCAAGGACCAAAGCATGCAGCTTCTTTATTGGTTCTAGGTCTGCAGCAATGAGGGCCAATGCATCTGCTATCCTGATTGGACAGGAAAGGACTGCAGTGTCTATGACCCCATCCCAGATCCAAAGCCCACAGGGGAGACAGAAAAGTACAAGGGTAAGTTTGCATGTCAAGATTCTCTTAAAGGTGACCAGAACCTTATTTCATGCACTTCCAAGTCAAAACTGCAAACGTGGTGGTCCTTATACCAACATGAGGTCGTAGCAGAGACCCTCCTCTGTGTTCCCTCTGAAGATCCCAAAGCCCTTTCTCCAATCTGCTGTTGGCTTCCACATGCCTTGTTTTATTTACCACATTCTAAATTAAGGGAGGAATACAAAAACATCAAACCTTTGGGAGAAATCTGAGTACATATTGAAATTGAAATACTTTATTGCCACTTGTACAACTTGTTAACAGTGAGATTACACGAGCACCCCCCCCCACTCGGCTCTCTTCGTCTTAATTCCCCTCATTTACTGACGCACACCCACCAAACCCGAAAGTCAGTTGCCCTGTTGTTATCTTTTCATTCAGCAGCCTAACAGCCCACGGATAGAAGCTGTTCTTTACCCTGTTGGTGCGACTAATCATGCTTCTATATCTTCTGCCTGAGGGCAGGAGGTCAATAAAGTGCCGGCCAGGGTGTGAATCATCCCTGAGAATTTTCCTCACTCTCCTGAGGCAACGTTCTTCCGCTATTTCATCCAGTGGATTCACGGGACAGCCCATAATATCTTGTGCTGTATTCACCACCCTCTGTAGGCACTTCCTATCAGATGATGTCAAACTAGCATACCACACCGTGATGCAGTATGAAAGGACACTTTCTATTGTTGACCCGTAGAAGGAGGTCATCACTCTGGTTCTTTTCTCCCACAGCTGTTTTTGGAAGACTGTCCCAGAATCATGCAGCTTCAGTTCTTTGAAAGCCACCTCTTATTTTGGTTGTCAATCTACATGCACAGATTAAAGCCACGAGTTCTTACGCCCACCATTTTCTTTAAGCCTGCATTTAATTATTTCTCTCTTATCAGGTCAGACTGGCTGCTCCCTCTTTCTAATTCGGGCCCCACCTAATTCGGGCTCTGTCAGTCAAGCACCCATATTGTTGGACCTCCCCTTTTCATAGGCATATGGGGAGGAAGCTGCCTTAAACTGAGTCTGAACATTAGTCCATCTAGCCCAGTATTGTCTACACGGATTGGCAGCATCTCTCCTGGATTTCAGACTGAGGACTCTCCCAGCTCTAGTTGGAGATGCTGGTGATTTAAATGGGGACCTTCTACATGCAAAGCAAACGTTCTGCCATTCACCTATGGTTGTAACCTCACAATACGTACATATATATTTTTGTCCCCTCTTCCTCTGCAGGTCCCAGCGGAACCAACATCATCATTGGCTCCATCGCTGGAGCAATCTTGGTGGCGGCTATCGTTCTGGGCGGCACCGGATGGGGATTTAAGTAAGCAGCGTCGACTTGCGCATGCTGTGCCATTCAAATAGTGCGCCCCTGCACTGTATTGCCTGGGAGGGAGCTCTCTCGCATGTTCTGCTCCAGGTGCCCTTTGCAGTGAGCTCCTTTGGTGCCTGCACTCAGCTCTGGGGAAGGGGGGGGGCGTTGAGCTGAGGCATGTCCCACCCCCCTACCAAGTTCAGCTTTTGCTGTTTTTCTCAGGGTGGATTCATACGACCACGGTTTTCCGGTGGCGTTGTCGTGGAAAGGCCACTTTCTAACTCCTTCACTTGGTAGTGTAGGGAAGGCACAGGGGCGTTCCTGGGGGCGGTCCGGACATCTGCCTGGACTGGAGACAAGGATCGGTCTTACTTGGTGGATCGACACCCTGTGGCCAGTTCCTTCTCTGCAGAACCTTCAGTCAGAAAAGGAGGAGCCGGGGATTGATTTGAAAGCCTGGTTAAGATTCCTCCCCTGCTCCTTCAGGAGACTCCTCAACCATCCCAGGAAGTAGCCATCGGTGCAAGGGGGAGGGTGGCAAAAGAAGGTTTGCACATGGGGCTTATTGCCATGCAAAATGGGGCACCGACTGGTAGTCTGTATCCACCCTCAGACAGATAGGGGTTGGCTGCCGCAGGGAAATGTGACAAGCCTGGGCTGCAGGCTTAGGGAAAGCAGAGAGAGGCACCAAGCCTCGGAGAATATCAATTGATGGAGGCCTTTTTGACTCCACCTCCAGCCCAGTTGTGGCCGCAACTTTAGAGAGCGTTTCAGGTCTGCTCCTGAGCCCACTTGTCAGGCTGACTCTTTAACCCTCAATGCATTTTGCACGGCGCATGTTATGGAGAACGGAAGGCACCCTCTTGTGTTGAGAGCCACACTGGGAGTGGTGGGGATAAGGGCAGACTGATGTGGTGAAGCCCAGCTCCTGGTGAATGGGGGCACACCAGAACAAAACGTTCACCATGTATGATGTGTTAAAATTGCTTTCCGGTGTTACATTGCCACCTGTAAAGGCAGAATATGAATTGGTCTTAGGGAGCTTTCAAATAGAATCGGTGACCGGGCTGGGGTACACTGGTACAATTGCAGGTTTTGATATGCCATTAGCTTTCCCTCCTGAACCATTTCAGGCAGTTTGCCTGTACTTGCAGCAGCTGGAGCAGGATCTGTGTCCTGCCCCTGCATGAACATGGGCTTGTAGGAGTTTGGGAGGGCTGTAAGTGCTGTCATCTCCCACCCCAGTTCTTAAAAATCTGTCTTAGGAGTGTATGTACCTGCATATCTTTAACTGCCATCTGCATTGCTTTGAATTGGGGCCTTTGCATCCTCTTTAACCTCTGTCCATTGCCTTCTCACCTAACAAACTGGGCTTTTTCACCCAGTTGACCTGTACATATTACTGTGGGGAAAATTTGAGGGTCCAGCACCCTGTGGTTTTGCTTTGAGTAGAAGGGTCACTTGGCGTTAGGTCATCTAGACATGGGCTTAGCTACAGATCACTGTCTGCTTTGGGAGGGTGGGGCTGTTTGGGGGGAGGCAGTTATTCAGCATTGGGGACTGGGGGTTAATGGCAGCATTCAGGAGGCGGGCTGACTGGGTGGGCTGGTGGTGGTGTTGGGGTAAACAAAGAATGTCTTGGGGAGTCACACTCTTCCTCTCTGATCCACACCATGCTCCCTGTTTGATGTTCTGCATGGACTGACACTTGCATGAATGAAAGAGGAGTGTCTGAAATAACAGTCGCATGACTCAAAATACTGGCTTTAAGGAGATGGTGGCTGGAGGGAGGGGGTGTTGGCATGGAGGTGGGGTGGGGAACAATAGAGTCCGGAAACTTGTGGCAGGTGCCATCCTCTACTAAGCAAATTCCAAAGGCACGAGCTGCAGGGACCTCAGAGTTGGCTCCTACAAAGTGAACTGTAACCCACTCAAACCCCCACCCCAAATCTCCCCCACCCACAAAAAAAATTGCTGGTATTTGTATGTTGTATGCGCCTGCCTGTCTACACTACTGCATTGGAAAGCAAGGCACAACAGACCCAGCCAAACTGCTGTTCTGGACGCTGGGATGAGGGAGAGAATGGGGAGGGGTGGAACGCCCTCTTGGCCCTCTGGTTTCTAGCTAAAATAGCTGACCACCTTCTTTCCAGGTCTGCAATTTCTTCTCTGGAATTACGAGCATCTTCAAGTCTCTCTCTAACACATTCCTCAGTTATATACTTCTCAAGCGTTTTGAATTGTTGTTTTTTGGAGCTTTTCTTTTTTTAAAGGAGAATATGCCATGAGATGTTCAAAATGTGCTTTGAAGAAAGGGTTGGCGGTCAAATTCGGATTCTTTCCTTACTAGAACTGTGGGGTGAAGGTGGTAAGAAAACGAAAAAAGTGTGCCTCAGCAGAGGGCCCAATAGCATGAGGCTGAAGGAAACCATAAAACCTTTGCTGTGTGGGAAATCCCCTCTCCTTAATATAGTGACGGCTTTGATCACATTTCTTCTGTTCTCCAATTGCTACTGTTTTTAAGATGCTCCTTTAATTTGCTGCTGAGGGCTAGAAACATGCTTTAAGAAGCTCATACCCAATATTAGAAAATCAGCACAAACATTGACTTTGTACTTGAGGCCCTTGTGCGACTAACTTGTGTGCCGCAGGGGAGATCCCGGCGAATCTGTTCCTCCTTTCTTGGCCTTCCCAAGGCCCTTTTAAAGTTCCGGCAGGAGCTATGTCAGCTAAGAAGAATAGTGGTGGTAGATCTCTGCACAAAAGCTGTCCTGGATGGTAAGGAAGATGTTGCATGTGTGGCTGGGTTTTGCATTACCGACCATGGCATGCGGCACGAAGACTTGAGGCAGTTAGGCCACGGTGTACCCAGCTGAAGTTACCTGCTAACCCACGTCCCCCTCTCTCTCTTTCCTTCTCTCTCCTCGGCTTGCAAAGGAACATTCGCAGAGGAAGGTATGATCCGGCTCAGCAGGGCATCTAAGCACCACCCCTTGCCGCCACTCCCTTCATCGCTCATCCCCTCCATCCCATCCTCCGCATCGCCTTCATCCCGCACTCCCTGCTTGCAATGATCATGTGGGTGGCTGAACCAGCTCTCTTGCGGAGGCCCCTCTCGACCAAGAAGATCTCATCTGCGCCATCGCTTCTCTCCACGCATCCATCAGTGCCGGCATCAGCAACGCTTTGCTCTCCATTCCTTAGTTGGCTTGCGGGAGGAGGGCCTTTGGGCAATAAGCAAAAGGCATCTGGGCTTCTTCTCCCCAGATTGTAAAGATTCGGCCATCTAACACAGCAACAGGCCCTGCTCTCAAATATTGGATGATAATGATGAGGTGCTTGATGTTAACCTTGGCCCTTGGTCTCTAAGGCCCACGTTTTGACATGTTACCTTTTCTTATCTTTTGTGGCAAAGTCCCCCTGAGAGGATTTTACCCCCCTTGGTTTCACTGTGAGGTGTTCTCATTTTGAGCGGGCCCTCATGGTGAAAGCAGGGTATTTATCATGAACTGTGTTTGTTCTGACATGGAAAAAAGGGCTCTACCTTCAGGAAACCCTGTGTTGACCTCTCCACCTCACCATTACATGTAAACCAATTGCTGTATTTTCTGTGCTCCCCCCATTCTGTTAAATGAAAGGATATGCGCCATATTTTAGCACACATACAAGCCCTCACATGTTATAATGAGCATTTGCAGCCCTGAGATGTATTAAACCCGCCCAAGAAACCTACAAGGTAAACCATTATTCCTGGAGAAACTGAGGCCAAGAGAGTGCAACTTGACTAAAGCAGTCTGTGAGTAGCATAGATTTAAACCCAGGGGCCCCGAGGCCCAATGCTGTAGCAATGAACGTCACACACACGTTTTACTGCCTATATAGATACCTGTGTTTGTGCATACACACCTGCCCCGAGTATATAATTACCTGTGGGATATGGGGACCAGGGCCTTTTGCGTGTCCCCCTCCCTCAATACATGAAGCATTTGGTTTGAACTGAGGCCCCCATAACATGTAATGCTCCATTAGTAGTATTTCAGTGGTAGTTTCTGACCCAGAGTACCCCTGGAGGCTGCAACATTGTGGGAAGGAAACTGCTTGTTCCTGCTCAACATTGCTTCCTGTGCCTCTGGTATGATTCCACTTGTAAGGGAAATATACCATATTTTTCGCTCTACAAGACGCACCTAGTTTTTGGAGGAGGAAAATAAGGGAAAAAAAATTCTGAATCTCAGAAGCCAGAACAGCAAGAGGGATCGCTGCGCAGTGAAAGCAGCAGTCCCTCTTGCTGTTCTGGCTTCTGGGATAGCTGTGCAGCCTGCATTTGCTCCATAAGACGTACACACATTTCCCCTTACTTTTTAGGGGGGGAAGTGAGTCTTATAGAGCAAAAAATACGGTATATGGTTATCCTTCTGTGTGGCAGAAACAGCCAGGGGAGGGCCATTTTGAATGGGAAAATGGCCAGTTAAGAAGCTCCATTAAGGCAACCCTCAAAACTCCTGTTCTCAAGTGGCTGCTTTTATAGGGATGAGGTTGGGGGAATGATAAAACCATACAACCAAATTTGCACATGCTATACCTTTCAAGCATATTCTTCCCCTGAAAGAAATCTGGGCACTGGTCTGTTAAGGGTTGCTAGAAATTGTAACTCTGTGAGGAGTAAATTATAGTACCTAGAATTCTTAAATGGGAGAAAATGTGCTTCTAGTGTGTTTTAAAGTTATAGTGGGAATACAGCCTGTGTTGAGTACAGCCAGAGTAGAGAGGACCCACTCAAGCAATTCTTTGCTGCCATTTTTTGAAAAAGGAACATCTTAACTCATGGGTGCTGGGTTTACTTGTGTGCAACTGTATGGACATTGTCTGTGAGTTAGCCTAAAGATTCTGTGTACGGCTCGGACTTCTCTGCCTGCCGTGTATAGAATGTAAACCTTATATAAATATGGGTCTCGTCAGGACCCACACAGTTAGAAAAACTTCATCACAACAAAATACACCACCTGGTCCAGCCAGGTAGTCTTTTAGCAGATTCGTTTGTAAAGTTGTACAGTGGTACCTCGGGTTACATACACTTCAGGTTACATACGCTTCAGGTTACAGACTCTGCTAACCCAGAAATAGTGCTTCAGGTTAAGAACTTTGCTTCAGAATAAGAACAGAAATCGTGCTCCGGTGGCAGCAGGAGGCCCCATTAGCTAAAGTGGTGCTTCAGGTTAAGAACAGTTTCAGGTTAAGAACTGACCTCCGGAACGAATTAAGTACTTAACCCGAGGTACCACTGTAGTATGCCATAGACCTATAATGCCATAGACTTACCATAGACCTAGACATAAGCAACAACAAAGGCCTAGTTCTTGCACACAGAAAGTAACGCAACTTGATCATATTGAATTGCAAGACGGGACTAATGTGATTCAATGCCCTCTATACAAAAAAAAAGAAAAAAGGAAATTTCCCTGCATTTAAAAAATCAAAAACAAGTTGTTAGAGGAAAGGCTTGGCTTGAACAGTTAACCCTGACATACTAATATTCCATATGCACTCAAAGGGGTATGGAGCAGTATGCAGAACTGGACCCTAAGTTGCAGTATTCAGGTCTTACAAGGACTGATGGCTAAGTGCTCATTAGCATTCCCTACCACGGTAGGTGGCAAATTTGGACCTTTGAACATATCACAAAAGCCAGTGATAGCCAAAGAAGGTCTTCTTTTAAATCAGTATGATTACCTCGCCCATTAACATTCACATAGGAACAAGCTCTCACATCTGGCAACTCAGTGATTTCCCTTTCTGAAAAACCATGAATATCACTTGGAACCTGGTACCACCCTAATGGGGAGAAGAGATCTGCCCCTGCTATGTGCTATAAGAGACACATCCATGCTTATCTGCTGCTGTCCATCCATTGTGTATTATTTTTGTGAATGTGACCTGGCAATCTCCCTTGGCATTCCTCTCATTTCATGGCTTCACTGTTCTTTGGAAGTTTAAAAGAGCCAGGAGTTTGGGAACTTGGGGTGGAGACTGTCCTCTGTGGGTGGAGACTGAGCTGGAACAGATTCACACAAATATTAGGTTGAACAAGGCAATGATGTGATTAAGTGCTTTTTCATTCAGCATAGTAAGGTAAAGGGAACCCTGACCATTAGGTCCAGTCATGGCCGACTCTGGGGTTGTGGCGCTCATCTCGCTTTATTGGCCGAGGGAGCCAGCGTACAGCTTCTGGGTCATGTGGCCAGCATGACTAAGCCGCTTCTGGCGAACCAGAGCAGCGCACGGAAACGCCGTTTACCTTCCTGCTGGAGCGGTACCTATTTATCTACTTGCACTTTGACGTGCTTTCAAACTGCTAGGTTGGCAGGAGCAGGGACCGAGCAACGGGAGCTCATCCCGTCGTGGGGATTTGAACCACTGACCTTCTGATCGGCAAGTCCTAGTCTCTGTGGTTTAACCCACAGCGCCACCCGTGTCCCTTTTTAGCATAGTAAAGAGAGAGGTAAAAACCCCACCATGTAATACATTGTGGCAATGCGGCTCTTGTTTCAACTGCTAGCACCCAGTCATGGAACATGTCAAGTAGTAAAAGAGGAACGCACCAATGGCCACATGCAAAGTTCATTCATTTCATGGAATCGTAGAGTTGGAAGAATTATATGAGTCTATGTCCCCAGCAGTTATCTAGTCCAGCCCCTTCAATGAAAAAAATCTCAGCTAAAGCATCCATGACAGGTGGCCATCCTACCACTAGTTAAAAACCTCCAAGGAAGGAGAGTCCATAACCTCCCGAGGGAGACCGTACCACTGTGAAACAGCTCTTGCCGTCAAAGTTCTTCTTGAAGTCTAGTCCGAATCTTCTTTCTCGTGACTTGAAGCCATTGGTTTGAGTCCTACCCTCAAGAGCAGGAGAAAACAAGCTTGTTCCTTCTTCCACAGCCTATATATATGCCTATATATATTTATTTTCTTACATTTCTGTCCCACCTTTTTTGCATCATGGAGCCAAATGAATATACATGAATATAGCACATGCCCAAAGGCACATGTTGGATTATTAGGGAGGACTTTCAGGAAACTTTGAGCATGCACATCGGAACCTGTGTGATAATTTGTAGTCATATCACATTGTAAATAAGTTTTATTATTATATGGATATTGAATAGATGCTGCCATCTGCCCTGAGTAGGGTGCTGCCTTTATTATTTGCAGGGCTTAATTGACAGGCAGAAATTCAATAGGTGCAGCCTCCAGCACGGAGAGGTGAAACTGCACCTGCTAAACGAACGTCTGCCTGTTATGCCAATCATTAAATGCACAGGAGCCCTGCCAGGCAGTGGTGCATTTGGAACAGGACTTTAGGGTAGAGGTCCAAGGCCTAACTCTGCAAAAGGCCCCCAAAATACAGTGAAGTGAAGCACACTACCATCTAAGCATGGGTTGGCAAACTAAGGTCCGCGGTCCGGCTCAGGCCCAATTGCCTTCTAAATCTGGCCCACAGACGGTCTGGGAATCGCTGCGTGGATCGCCAGCGCATGGATCACCAGTGCGCACGTTCTTTCCCTCCCTCTCCCTCACACGGCGCCTCCTCCCTCCCTCCTGGCTTCTCCCTGCCCTGCCTAGAGGAGGAAGGGGGCTGGGCTTTGTTGGTGCCAGCAGCAGCAGCAGGGCTCAAGCGGCCACCATTTTAAGCAGCCCCTCTCTGGAGCCCTTTCACACGCCACTCATCATCCCGCCGCCACCAGCCCCTGCCGCTCGCAAGACACAGGAGCCACAGTTGGCTGAGTGCCCCTCTTAAGCAGCCACCAGTTAAAGCAGCCCCTCTCCGGAGCCCTTTCGCGCACCGCTCATCCCTCGTTCATTTCCCCCCAAAAATATAGTCCAGCCCCCACAAGGTCTGAGGGACAATATAATATATAATAATAATTTATTATTTGTACCCCACCCATCTGGCTGGGCTTCCACAGCCACTCTGGGCGGCTTCCACAAAGACGAAAAATACACTAAGATATCACACATTAAAAACTTCCCTGAACAGGGCTGCCTTAAGATGTCTTCTGAATGTCAGGTAGTTGTTTATCTCTTTGACATCTGATGGGAGGGCATTCCACAGGGCGGGCGCCACTACCGAGAAGGCCTTCTGCCTGGTTCCCTGTAGCTTTGCTTCTCGCAATGAGGGAACCGCCAGAAGGCCCTGGCTTGGACCTCAGCGTCCGGGCAGAACGATGGGGGTGGAGACGCTCCTTCAGGTGTACTGGGCTGACAATGAACCGGCTCCCTGCTGGAAAAGTTTGAGGACCCCTGATCTAAAGAGCACACACACACACATCCATATCACCGTTAAGCCCAGTGTCTAAGATTACTGTATCACAGCTGCCAGGAAAGAAAAGTGAGCTCCTTATCCATGATTTCTCCTGATCAGAGCAGGCAAAGGGGAATATGTGGAAGGAAACTGTTCTGTGAAATATGCAGGGCTTGGGACATCTAGGGCTTTTAAAATATAATAATCCACACGTCGTGTGTAGGGATTGCAAATCAGATTGTGTTTGTCACTTTGGTTACAGTAGCAATGAGTTTTCAATATATTATTTCCCCAACCACTCCCACAGTGTGTCTCCATGCTTTGGTGCTATAATTGCTGCACAATATCTCTCTCCTAAATTTAACATTTTGAAAATGTCAAAATTCAGGGTACAATCGGAGAATGCTTTCTAATTCCCAAAGGAATGAGCTTTATGTGAGTTGCATAGCTGTGGCTGACAGACACAGAATCAATAAAATATGTGAAAGAAAGGTTAACTACGTTTTTAAAAAATGGTATACCAAATTCAGTTTTATAGGGGTACTTTAAAAGCAGAATATGATTATGGACTTAAAACTAAATTTAAAGTTGACAGGAGTCCCCTGCACAGAAAATTAGCAGGTGACTCTCTGTCTGCCATGAAGATAAATGTTAGGCAAAGTGTCACCCACGTAATTTCTGTGAGTCAAAGGAGTGGAGGTGGTGATCTTGAATTCACTGTTTTGCATCCTGTGTTTCTAAATCCAACAACATACACAACAGAATATTACAAAACAAAAAATTAAAATAATAATTAAGGTGGTGGGTTGTTGGATTTTTTGCAAATTTTAGACATTAAATATTCCCTTGAGAATTTTTATTCTGTTTAAAACATACTAGCAGCAATAACCCCTTCTATAGAGTTAGAAAATAGATAATTGCACCTATTAGACTGAAACGGCTTAAGAGTAGATGCTTAACAATAAAATCCTATGTTAATTCAGAACTAAGGTATAGATGAATCAGTTTCAATTTCTGTTTATCATTTTCCCAGTCTTAAAAAATCAGTCCAACCCATTTTTGTTCCAGTTAGTGATTTTTTTAATATATAAAAAAAGCTTCCCTCAAAAATTGTCAGAACTTTTGCATGCATTTCTCCTAATAGACACATTTTTTTGAAAGTTATTTTGTCTAATGTAATGCTAAATTAGGAAAAATTGCTTGCAGTTTTTATATATATGGATTTGATGCATACGTGCCCCCTAATAGACACATTTTTATACAAATCCTTTTAGTTGGAGAACTGCATCACAAAATGTTCAAATTTGGTAGCTCTGCTTCTGTTTGCATAGTTTCTGGACATGTCAGTTAGGGATATTTGCATTAAAATGCAGAGTGAACCAAATTTTCATCCCCGAGTCCCTCAAAGTTCAATGGACTTGTTCTGTTAGAAATGTGTTAACTGCAGTTGTAAATTACTAACAGTTTTAGAATTCTGAGATGGATGTCATTCTCTGCCTTGAGCCCATAATGGGAGAAGCGAAGAATTTCTGTTGTGGCAGAAATCTTGTACATGGTACAAGATAACTTGATTTCTTCCTATTTCCACAACACCTGCATTGGAAAAAACAACTTGAATTTGTAAAATGGCAAATGGTGCTCATGGCATTAATAAAAAAACCAAGACAATCCCTTTGTCACCTTTGCCAACCCCTGCCCCCTTATCATGGCAAAATCTAATATTTGCTGGCACCACCAAACCGGCAGAGGGGCCACTGCCCTGACACTTCCACTATTTTCACTTTCTCCAGCTGTTTTTGGACTACAACTCCCATCATCCCTAGCTAGCAAGACCAGTGGTCAGGGATGATGGGAATTGTAGTCCGAAAACAGCTGGAGACCCAAGTTTGGGAAACACTGATCTAAAATGTGTGAGAATTGTCAGAATTTGCACATCTCAGTTAAAGGGCCCAATGAGAGTGCATTGCTTAAAGTCCCCAAAATCTTTGCGCCAGCATTGTGGGTTGGGAAGCAGTGAATCATGAAAATGGCGGTTAGGTGAAGTCCTCGTTGGTGACCCAATGTCAAAAATAGGCCCCCTTTGTACAGGCTGGGTGAATCCTATTTATCACAAAGGCATTTCAGAGCATTGCCAGACATTCAAACCGACTTTGGGAGTTCTGTTTCTGTAATAATAATAATAATAATAATAATAATAATTTATTTGTACCCCGCCCATCTGGCTGGGTTTCCCCAGCCACTCTGGGCGGCTTCCACAAAGACCAAAAATACACTAAGATGTCACACATTAAAAACTTCCCTGAACAGGGCTGCCTTAAGATGTCTTCTAAACGTCAGATAGTTGTTTATTTATTTGACATCTAATGGGAGGGCGTTCCACAGGGTGGGCGCCACTACCGAGAAGGCCCCTGCCCTGTTCCCTGTAGCTTTGCTTCTCGCAATGAGGGAACCGCCAGAAGGCCCCCAGCACTGGACCTCAGCGTCTGGGCAGAACGATGGGGATGGAGATGCTCCTTCAGGTATACTGGGCCAAGGCCATTTAGGGCTTTAAAGGTCAACACCAACACACTGCAAATGTGAATTGTACACGGGTTAGAATGTACATTCAGCTGAAAAATGGCTCCGCTGGCTTTCCGTTACGTATTAATGACATTTTCGCAGGCACCCAACTTACACAAGAGTATTCTCTGTGTCAGTGTCTGCAGATCTGCACTGTAACAAGTTGTGGTGTTATGCTTAAGAAGACCAACGCCAACAGTCTTGTCCTTCCCATCTCTCCTTCCCATCCCAAAGTATGAAACAGTGGGACCTAGACTTCAGTGTTCAGCAAGCAGAGAGAGAAAGCACACCACAAAAAGGCATCTCTCCAAATCAATGCAGCCTCGGGTGCAATTGGGGAACGTTGAATAAAAATAGGGGGGGAGGTGGAAGCATAAAGAAAGAGGACATTTTTGAAAAACCGTTTGTACATGTTGCATCTGTTGCATAATGATGCTTACTGCCAGGTTAGGTGCTGAGGAAACTCAGCCAGATAAATAAATAAATAATAATAAATTATTATTATTATCCAGCAGTCATGCCGAAGGTGAGGGGTTTTCCTGGGCTTGGGTCAACCCTTTTCAGCTTCACCCAGGCTGTGGGAAAGTGGAGAGCAGTGAAACAACAATAACAGGACCCATTCTATCCTGTCAAATCCCTTCTTGCCCCTAGCCTTTGCTGGAAACTCCTTCCCTTCTCACTCATGAGGTTACAGCTAGAGGAATGATGCTGGGGAAATGGATCATAGCTTGTCTGCCTAGTTGGCCAATGGATGGCAAGCTGCGACACTGTCCTCACCCCATCGATTAAAGAATGTAGATTTCCACGGGTCGCTGAGTAATTTTTTTCTGTAAAAGGGGTGGTTGACCAAATAAGTTTGGGAACGTCTGCTCCGGATGCTTCAATCATATACCAATGAATGAGAGGGAACACATCTGGCTCTTTTAACCTTGCTGAGGAATCACCGCCATTACTTCTATCCTTATGCATTCCTTTACTGCTCCGCATTGCCACTAAAATTACCCCCCTTGCTTCTGTGTTTCAGGTCGGGAGGGGCTTAGCCCCAGCTCATAACCCTGATCTTTGTGCTGCTGCTCTGGGTCTGTATACTCACCATAGGGTGGGGAGGAAGGTAAAAACGCCCTCCTTTCCTCTTCCTGGTCAGCAGATAACCAACATCCCAAGCCACCAAGTCTTCCATTGCCTCCTGGACGGACATGGGCAGGAGAAGCGCCCTCCTTTGGAGGGGCAACTTGCACTGCACTGCCTCGCACTGTGGGAGCAGCTCCCCACGGATGACCCTTGCCGAGGGCACCATGTCACGACTTCTCGCGACCTTTCCTGGGGGAAAGGGCCAGAAAAGGGATGCTACTTCACAGGTCTACAAGTGTGCCTCACTTTGCTAATCCCACCAAGGAATGTACCATGTTGGATCCACCAAAAAGCCACGCAACACGGGGGCACAGCAATGCTCCTCTCCTCAGCTAGTTCTGTGCCTGGAAGACGCACTGCTCCCTTTCCCGTGGAGTGGAAATCGAGCATTCGGGGTGTGTGAGGACAGTTGGGGTGTGTTTTCTTCCACACGTTTTCACATGTATGAATGCCACGGTACTCCTGATATTCTCTGCCCCCCCTTTTTTTTTTGTTCCTGGAGAGGTGCTTCCCACAGCAACACAAAACTGCTCCTGGGTGGACTAGGAGGCTAGATCCCTTTTTGATCTTTTTATTGTCCCAAGCTCACCACCAGAGGTGCCAGGTTGTCCCCAAGATGGCGGAGTGGGGGCGTTGCCCGCATGTGATGTTGGAGAGAAATAAGCCTCTACTTTTAATTCTGTTCCACTCAACAGAAGGAGCAGGTGGGGTTCCAAAACTCAACAGGACTGGCTCACCACATTGCCATAAAAAGGGGGCCGCCCATTCAGTTCAGAGCCTAAATTTACCTAATGGCAACACTGAAGAAAGTGGGCCTCAGCTAGCAGACAGTTGGGAAATAGTGGGCTAAAGCAGGGTGGGGAAACTGCGGGGCCTTCAGATGTTGTTGGACTACAGTTCACAATCATTGGCCATGCTCGCTGGTGCCCATGGGAGCTGAAGTCCAGCAATAGCTGAGGGGGCACAGGGTCCCCAACCCTAGTAGAAAGGAAGTTACTGCAGCTGTAGAGTGTTCTCACTCAAATGCCTCTCTCTTTATAAACAGGGAATGATATGCTGAACCTTCCCAGTTGAAAATTACAGCCCTATTAAGAAGAGAATAGTAACTTGTTGAGGCTAATAATCCCCTACAGTTCTCTGCAAAGATCCCTCCCTCCAACAACAGGCAGAAAAGGCTGCTAACTCCTACAACGGGTTGGGGATAAGGCCTGGTCTTCCCTGCGGTGGTGTCTGGGTTGTACCATGGCAGGTGGGCTCTTGCGTGAGGATGGGCTGCTCCTGCTGCAGTTTTAAATGTCTTCCAACAATACTTCCCTGATCTGATTTGGGGATCCATGAAAAAGAACTGTGGGAACTCCAAATGTGGATCTCTCAACAGCTCATCTAATTTGGCCAGTCTTGGGCAGGAACTATCTGACCTCCTAGCCATATGCAAGAGCACCCTCATGCTGGTGTCTCTCAGTAGGGCCTTTTCAGATTTCAGTAGGGGTGACGAAGAGGTAGAGGTGAGGAAGAGAGTAAGAGGGATGAGATTCAGCAGGATCCAGATCCCAACTCTTGAATGCTTTCAAGGCTACATTGCTAAAACCAACAAGCGTCTGTGTAAGAGTAAATACGGGGAAGCCCAACTGGGCCTTCTACCAAATGAGACACCTCTCCTCCTGGCTTGTACAACGGTTGACCCAGTCGGCCATTTTCCTCATCCGAAAAAGCAGGATTTCTGAATGGTACTATAAGGGAACTGAATGGTCAGCTGTCTTTGGAGCTGGTGGCTTGGGTGTGGCTATATGGAGCGAATATTCTTGTGGAACGAAGGCCCCCTATGCCATCTTGCTGCCCGGAAGCTTACAATGGCAAGGCGTTCCTGTCAGACATAATTGATGCACTCCATCTTACCCCTGTCTTCTTGTACTCCTTCCTTATCCTCCTTCCTTTCCTATTTGAGCACCACAGCTTTATGAAATAGGAATGCCGGGCAGTGAAACAATAACAGGACCAATTCTATCCTGTCAAATCCCTTCTTGCCCCTAACCTTTGCTGGAAACTCCTTCCCTTCTCATTCATGAGGTTACAGCTAGAGGAATGATACTGGGATTTGTAGCTTCCTTTGTCCCCACTGAGAGGACTGGCTGTTGGCACACTAAAATCCAAAAACAGGTAAGGTGTTCTTCTTACGGGACCAAAGGTGGTCGATCTTAGGTGCAGGCAAGTTTTCGGGTCACAAAGAATGTTTTGTCAGACTGTGTGATTTGGGGGACCTGAGCATTGTTTGGGCATCTCTATCTGTTCTGTTGTGAAATGATCTGGGCTCAGGGTTTGAGGGTTGCGCTATTGGTGGGTGAGTGGCTCTGTGTGTGTGTGTGTGTGTGTGTGTGAGAGAGAGAGAGAGAGAGAGAGAGAGAGAGAGAGATTATGAATGTGCTTCAACATGAGTGAGTGAGTGAGTGAGTGAGTGAGTGTAAGCAAGCTGTAGCATTTGGTGCAATGGACAACTTGAACCCTCTTTTAACCTTCGCACAGTAGCAAGGATCAAGGCTCCTAAAACTTCAAAGACAGCGCAGTGAGGAAGAAGAGGAACAAAGGTGGCATCGCAAACGAAGAGCACAACCATGGAGGGAGCCCGCTCTGTGCTGCGCTCACCTTGGACCCCTGCCATCTCCCAGCACACTCTCCGGCTCGTGGGCACCTCGGACTGTGATTTCCTTTGCACATGAGTTGTGTGTATATGTATATATATCTATGATCTGCTCTGCCTCCCTCAGGGGTGGGCAGCCTTGTCTGTATATCGTGATGTGCCCAAAGATTAACTAAAATGCCGCTTCGGGGCATTCATGTAGATACACATTACACGTTCACTGCACACGCTGAATGTTGAAGGCTGGGCAAGTGGGTTGGCTTCCAAACCCATCGATGGGACAATTCTGGGTCTTCCGCTCAGGCAGATGCTAACAGCTGGATGCAAGGCCTTCTCCTTTTGTGTACCCCGCTATGCTGCGCACATACCTGCCAATGTTTGCTAAGTTTGAAAGAGTTCAATCTACTCTTGCTCCTGACCTTTAGAAAATCTGGCCAATAATAAAAGCAGGGCCAATATTTTAAGATTTGAATTCCTGCAGAATTCTGTTAATCCTAATGTATACTACGAGGAAAAACACTAAAATGCATCCAACTGCCATATCTTAAGACTGAAAAGTAAAGTCTTTCTTTTTGTTCAACTCTTAGCGTCTCCTTGACTTGCGCCGGATGTGCTGTGAAGTTTAACTTGTTTGTCTAAAGTTCACTTGCGGTGGGAGCGTCATGGGTTTGAACTAGTTATGAGAATCCTGTTTAAGGTAAAGGTAAAGGGACCCCCTGACCATTAGGTCCAGTCGTGGCCGACTCTGGGGTTGCGGCGCTCATCTCGCTTTATTGGCCGAGAGAGCCGGCGTACAGCTTCCGGGTCATGTGGCCAGCATGACTAAGCCACTTCTGGAGAACCAGAGCAGTGCACGGAAACGCCGTTTACCTTCCCGCCGGAGCGACACCTATTTATCTACTTGCACTTTGACGTGCTTTTGAACTGCTAGGTTGGCAGGAGCAGGGACCGAGCAACGGGAGCTCACCCCATCGCGGGGATTTGAACCACCGACCTTCTGATCGGCAAGTCCTAGGCTCTGTGGTTTAACCCACAGCGCCACCTGTTTAGCTTAGCCTAATTGGCTTGTCCAAGCGAAGAGCTCTTTTCAAAGAGCATTGATCCAGGATCTCTGATCCTGCAAATTGTACTGTGTTTGTCTCAAATTGCAGTGGGATATATTAGCTAATTGAACGCCCTTGTTAATTGTGTAGGTTATCTCTGGCTATCTCCGGGTAAGTGTGCATAGGGCTGGCCCCTGCCCCTTCCAGTAGTTAATTTCTAAGGCAAGAGTTGCTGGGGCTCAAGCTGGACATCACATCTTTTGACTGAGTACCCTTTCTGTTTAATTCACAAATGTGGGAAGGGTGATTAAAGCTACAGAGCACTGCTCTGTGACTAGTCTTCTTAAATGGCATCTCATGAGTCAGAGCTGAGCCCTGGAATTTATAATCAAAAACCAGGTTCTGGGCTCAGTGTAAAAACTTGCACTCTGCTTCTGCTCAGAGACTATCTTCTTAATTTGCCCCACTTAGCCCAGAGATGGACATTGGCATTAAAAGCAAGAGCCCAAGCTCTCAGTTCCAAAACTGTTATTCTAGTTCATTGATCTGTGGCTGGATTTGACAGCTACACTAAGGGGACTTTTCCTTGAATTATTTCACCCTCTAACTGAGGCTTCATCAGCATCCGCCCTCCAGATGTTTTTGGCTTACAACTCCCATGATCCCTAGCTAGCAGGACCAGTGCTCAGGGATGATGGGAATGATAGTGTCAAAACACCTGGAGGGCCAAAGTTGAGGAAGTCTGCTCTAGCCGATAGATACAACACTCAAGAGCATACCAGGTATTTGAAACGTCTCCCTGGGAGAAGCCAGCCTTTCTGAACTGGAACCTCCCTCAAGTCGTTCCTGAAGTAAAATGACATAATCAGTTATATTTTAAGGAAGAACTTGAAGCCCCCATGCCAACTTATTGAAGGACCACAGCCTGGGTCTTGTCACTCAGATGCAGTGGCAAGTGTCAACCTGAGAGGGGGTAATGACAATAAAGATATTATTATTATTATTATTATTATTATTATTATTATTATTATTATTACAGCAGAGGTCAAAGGAGAAAGGAGCATTTAAAACCCTCAGTCTCTGTTCACACGTCGGGGCAAGAGGGAAGGACAGTTCTCTTGTCTTGCCAATGACCCTTAAAGGTAAAGGTAAAGGTACCCCTGCCCGTACGGGCCAGTCGTGTCCGACTCTAGGGTTGTGCGCTCATCTCACTTAAGAGGCCGGGAGCCAGCGCTGTCCGGAGACATTTCCGGGTCACGTGGCCAGCGTGACAAAGCTGCACTGGTGAGCCAGCACCAGCGCAGCACACGGAAACGTTATACCTTCCCGCTATAAAGCGATACCTATTTATCTACTTGCACTTAAGGATGCTTTCGAACTGCTAGGTGGGCAGGAGCTGGGACCGAAAGACGGGAGCTCACCCCGCCGCGGGGATTCGAACCGCCGACCATGCGATCGGCAAGTCCTAGCCACTGAGGTTTTACCCACAGCGCCACCCGCGTCCCGTTGCGGCCCTGTAATGTTCCTTAATGGCCCTAGCTTAGCCAGGACGGTTTTTGCATAGGAATTCCTCTGCAGCTTAATTAAAACATATTTCAAATATACTGGCGCGAATGTCAAGCATAAAAGCGTATGACATCTGTATACAGTACCGTGCACCAATTAGACTGCCCACCATATCCAATAAGCCTAGGATTTGCAGTTTGATGAAGAGTCCAAAATGAGATTCTCAGCCTTCCTCTTAGAGCACGGGTGCCCAAACTTTTTTTCAAAGAGGGCCAGATTTGATGACGTGAACATGCGTGAGGGCCGACCAACGTCGGCGTTTTCAGGATTGAAGTTGTTGAGCTTTTTTTACAATTTTACCCCAAAGTTGCTGGGTTTTTTTTTTTTAGGATTGAAGTTGTTGAGCTTTTGGGGGGATTTTACCTCAGGAAAAAAATTAACTAGATTAGGACCCCGAAACAGACTTTGGACATGCCTGTCTTAGCATGAACTTCAAAGTTTATTCTGCTGCAGTGCAGAAAGTAAGTGAAATGGCATACCTGGAAGAAAGCGGTGGGGAAGACCACAAACAATAAAGCTTTTGGTAAACCTCTGGAGTGCCTGAGGATGGCACTGTGACCCCATGTGCCTCGACTGGGCACTGATATTGGATACAGCCGCAGTACAAACAGAAGCCTTGCCTCTGAGAAACAGCCTGTGGAAACTGAGAAACAGACTGACTTCAGCTCATCTGAAGGAGCGTCTAGTTAGGAGTCGCACCCCCCTTGTATCTTCAGGTATTTTGGTGAATGTGATCATTGGGGATTTGAGTGCACCTGAGAGGTCAAGGTAAGTTGGCCACTAGATCAGGGCTTAAATTTGGTTCTTGGCTGGCGAAGAAATAAAGAGTGCCTCTGAACATGGGGAAAGCAGATCTGCTTTTCCCTGGATCTTAGGAAAGCCAATCGAAAAATCGCAGTTCGGGGTTTGTCTAAAATAAGCTCAACAACTTTTGGGGAGATCTGGTTTTTACTTTTTGAAATATGGCAACCCTGTGTGAGATTTAGGCATGCCTGTCACTTATTCAAAGAGCCTTATTTAAGCATGATATTTGTCGGCCAAAATCACAAGATATATAACACGGACTTGGGACGTTGTCGGCGGGCGCAAATACACTTGGGTTGAGGTACTCTTGAAGAACAACATTTATTTTTTTAAAAAAGACAATTACCTAAAGTTAGCAGGGGATCCAGAGAACAAGCACTGATTGCTGAGACATGGGAAGAATCCATATTTAATTGTGTCATTTTCCCCCCTGAGCACCAGAACAAAGTTGAATGGGGGGGCAGATACTTTTTGTTGTGTAGAATCTTTATTTTAGCTTTGAGACACAAGACCAAACAAGGCAAGGGGAGTTGGAGACTTATGAAAGGATTCCCCATGTCAGCTGGCTGTTGTTGCTTTAAAAAAATGAAATACAGCAATGGAGGGGACACACACACACTTTGAATTTGATTGGGACAGCAGACCGACCCCTTTCTCTGTGCGCCACATGCTTCATTCTAATTTCTATTTATTGAGAGTAAGTGATAAACGGTGGACTGAAGCAACTCACAAGGAAACATGATCCTAGGTACTTGTTAACTGTAGAGTGGCCAGCCAGGCAGTATTTTTACTGCTCTGCCCTGGAAAACTATGTTCTGTCAAGGAACTAGCCTTGGGATTCGAAAAGCCAGTGAAGTCCATATTCTGGGGGAGTTCGGATGATTTCTACAGGTTGAAAGAACACACAGGTGGGTGGGTGGTGGGTGTCATGAAGCTTGTAATAAACAAAAATCTGCCCTGATTCCCTTATGGGGGACACAAGAGCCCTTATAGAGTCCTTTGGAGGTTCTCCATCGGTAGGAGAAAATAACAGAGGCCAACCAGAGAATATTGAGAAGCAAAGCAGCTAGTAAACCTGATCTTTATTGAACTATTGCAGCAGGGTGCTCCCCTCACACACAGGAAAGGAGGACCCAGAACCAAGGTGTGCCCGCCCTTATATAGACATTTTAAATTGCCTGCCCTGGAGTCCAAGACCACCCCGAAAGACATCATACATACATCACAGGAGGGGTGTAGCTCAAGACCACCTCCCAGATACATCATACCTACATCACAGAAAGGGCGGTCTACAACAGAAATCTGAATGCGTTGTTTATCTCCTTTCTGGCAGGTTACCTATTAATGGTCACTTGATTGGATTACCTGGGGAGCCTGGCCAGTCTTTCGTAATGATAAATACTTAGTTCCTGAGCCAGGTCACAGGCTCACCCTAATCATACACAGCCATACCCT